TTGGTCCCCTTTATCACCGTTTCTGGGGTGTGCCTACAGTACCAGAGTCGTCGGGCAGAGCCCAGTGATGGACGGTCGGCATGAGGTGAGTCGCAATCTTCAGAGTTGTGAGTTTCTCAGGTAAGTCCAGCTATGTTGTTTGGCCATTCTGGCAAAGATATCGATGAGGTAAGTCACTCTTCTCAAATATCTGCATCCTCCCCGGTGAGTATATGCTGCTCTTCCCCGAATATCTGACTCCGTCTACCCAAACTCCATATGTGTCCTTAGTGTTGGCATGGATGTACTGCAGGAGTGGCAAGGGTCAAAAGGACGTGGTCGTTGAGAGTACCAGAGGGTCTCGAGCTTGCATAGTTTATATCGATATCCATACCTGTACCATGTACTCAGCATGCCGTAATGCGACCGTAACACTGCAATCTGCAGCGTGTTTAGCTACACTATTGTACTGCATCATAAGTGATTCCCTATTGATATACAGCTGGCGCAAGCGAGGAACCGGCACCCGGAAACCGTGCAAATTCCCATGTTTTACAGATGTAAATCCCACCCTTCCAACCCGCTGTCTAACCGAGGTTTTTCGCCTGTCTGAGACCACACCAGATTGACCGTGGAAAGCCGTCATCTTGACGCGCTTTTTGCTCGTCCATAAACCGGTGTTCACCCAGGGTTTTCTGCTCCATTTCCTTGGCCGGACCGCACTATTTCCTCGGTTTTCCCCTGTGGGTTTTGCACAGTCCCGGGCGCCATAGTGTACAATAGCTTTGAATCTGCTCGGATCCAGGGAGAATTGAGACATGAGCGACGTGGTAATCGTTCTGGAGGTGATGGCTGGGGGGAGTGTAATGTTGAACACTTTATATACAATCCGGAACCTTGACGTGTACATCACACGACATCTTGGCGATGAAAGTAACCAGTGGCATGGAAGGTGCTGGTATTGGCTTCGGATGAGTTTGAGTTTGAGTTCAAGCTCCGCTGCTGTCGGAAGCAGTCATTCGCTTAAGTCCGATGAGGCGTCATTCTCCGCCCTCAAGCTGACTATGTAGTCCTATCGACCTTTGCAGGTGTTCGGTCGCCCATGAAATCCTCCGCGAGCCCAGCTCGCTACCGAGCCAGATCTGTACTAAACATCATGGGAAGAGCGCGAGAATCCTCGAGTCGATAGACGTTATCACCCATTACCAGCTGTGTAGCCTATTAGTTGAGGCCTCATGATTTGGGTTTGTGCCCTATGGCTACGCGAACTATGTAGAAGGCCGTCCCAGATTTTTTCGAGGACACAACCACAACGCTGCAGACTTTGATTCCGACGACAGGCTACAGCCTGAATACGGTTCAGCGGAGTCACGATGCACCTCAGCTAACACACAGTCGAGTATGCAAACAGCCCTTCGTAGACGAAGTATGCGTGCTTTGACCAAATTCTCGTCTGCCATAGCGGCGTTTTGTTGACATCTGATTAATATTGCCTGAGCGGAGATAGTGACAATGTCGAATCACATTGAAACAGCTAACTTCGGCCAGGACCCCCAGGTATATAACACAGCATTACAACGAGTGATACAATACAATTACCTATCACAACGCATTAGCTTGAACACGCCACCAATAGAGCCTCCATAACAAGAGTCATCGACCAGACACGCGTGTGCGCCTCCGAAGCCCACTCTCACATCTCCTCATCCTCGCCCCGCAGCCCAAGCAACACGTCCAGCCTTCGCCACAACTTCTCCCTCGCCTCCATTCATGCTTCCCTCCTCTCACTCACACACCCGACACAATACCCCATCTCGTTCCACTCCATCTGAACCAACCGCTCAATTCCCTCAAACACGTCGCCAAACCCCGCCTCGAATGCCCCATTTTGCATCAACCGCACCGTCCAACCCGTCTCGTCCGCCTTCTGCGCCCTTGCACACTCCCTCGCCGCAGCGCGCTTCGAGCTCTCCGGCGTCTCCTCTCCGTCCCCATCCGCCGCACCAAGCAATAGCGACGCGAGGGGGCACGGGAACGCCGACGGTAATGGGGGGCGCGCGAGTGCGATCCACTCCCTCTACAACGCGTCCTTCGCGGCTATCAGCCTCACGAAGTCAGACGCGGCAAGTCGCGGTGGGGGCGCGTTCTCCTCGTCCTCGTCCGTCTCGGGCTTAATCGATGCAGGCACGGACTGGGACTCAGCGTGGACGTACGCGGAAAGGTCCTGGCCGAACGTGCCTTCGGGCGCGCGGAGGAGCTCGTAGTATGCGCACTTGAGCAGTTCGGAGACGTTGCATTGCTGCGCGAGCAGGATCGTCTCACGAGCTTGCGCGATACGCTCCGCGGCTGACGACAAGGGAGGGATGCGGGAGAGGTGGGAGGGCCACATCTCGCGGAGGAGATGCGTCGCGAAGGTGAGGATGGTCTTGAAAGAGAGGGCGTGCGCAGCACGAAGGAGGGACGCAAGGACGCGGAAGGGGGGAGGGTTGATCGCGTATGCGCTACACGATCGTATAGATGAGTCAGTATCCTGTATGAGCGTAAGGCCATCACTCACTCATATTCCTGCGTCGAGCGCGTCTAGCAGTCTCTCGAAATCAAGGACACTCACTCCCTTGACGTTGTAGACGAGACAGGAGTCCACGATGTCCTTTTGCTCGATGACTGTCTGGATCGAACATCTCCTTCGAGCTGTAATGATTGAGTTCGCTGCTAGTCACTTGACTACCGTCAACGACAAAGGAAGGACACGCACCTGTCATCGCCAGCAAACAGATCCGCGAAGAATGCTGACTGCTGCGTGAGACGGGACCGATGCAGTCGGAAGAGCGTGTTGTGGACCTGCACGACGACAGACCCGTCGAGATGCCAGAAGTTTGCACTGCGCCTTCGCGATGCAAGTCTGTGTTTGCCCTTATCTTTCGGCATGGTCCTCTCCGGCGCTTCAGGAGACGAGGGGGCAGGCGCCGCGGTAGGCACAGGCACCGAGAGCGACACAGACGTTGGCTTGGACGGAGAAACGGGGCGGGGAAGAGGTTGAGTAGCAGGAGGCGGTGGACCGGCGTCCTGCGTTCGACGTGTGCGCTTTGCCGGCCTGAAAGCGTGATGAGGATGCATACAGCAATGAGGGGCTCGCACAAAGACTTACTGCGAAGCGGCAGGTCGCGAGACCGAGACCGAGGTATCTTGTTGCATCTCCTCTATGTCCATCCCCAAGGGCCGTTTCCTCGTAGGAGGAGGCTTGTTGGGGAGGTTTCCCTTACGGCGCAGGGACCTGGGCGTGCTTGCGAGTGTGCCATTACTGGCCGTGGACGCGACTCGCGGGGAGGTACGTGAGGACGGGGTGGATGGAGTCTGGACGGATTTTCTGGCAGATGTGCGTGTTTGTCGCTGGCTCGAGGCCGACGCGGGACTGTCAGGGACAGACGCGTCGACGAACTCCTGCTTGGGCATCGGGGGCTCGGAGGGAATAACTGAGATGCACTCAGGCGGTTCAGTCTTGTCGGATTCGAGAGGCTCGGATGTCCGTAATGGCAGTGGGTCCGCCTTGGAGCGCGCTTTTGATGTGGACTGGCTGAGGATCTGGGAGACCTCTGGCAGGCTGTCTGAGTCGCTTGAGTCGGATTCACAGTCGAAAGCGGCCAGAAGAGATTTCCGAAGCGTATCTCTGAGAGAAGGCGCGGCGTCGGATAAATGCTCTCGGACGTCGTCAGTGGAAGAAGGAGAGGGATCGTCGTCGTTGGGCGTCGTGCGACCAGCCGTTGGGCGTCGTGCGACCAGCCGCGGTCGCCGTCAGAGCCATCGCGGTCGCCGTCGGAGCCATCGCGTTCGCCGGGCGCCTCTCCGACGCGTCGCGGTTGTCACTGTCCCAGTCAGGCATCACCGCGTCGAGGCCACATAAACGTCGACCTTCTCTCTCGCCGACGGCCATCATCGCGTCCAGGGGCCCTCCAATGTTGCATCAGACCCATGCATTCCGAACATGTGTGTGTTAACAGCCGCGAGTCTCCATGGTGCTTCGCTGCGACAGTCAATGCTGCTTTTTGGCCGTCTTCGATGCTATGTCTACAGGGAGACGGAGCGGACACATTGTGGAGTCTCGTCATTCTAGCCTAGCAGCTCGTTGTCGTCTTTGTGCATGTCTCCATCGATGCTCGATAAGACTAATGGGACACGCGCTTTCCCACTCCTGCAATGTGGGTGCAAGTGTGTGCATGTCCTTGCCGGCTACTGACGCTCGTCAGCAGGACTCGTTGCACGCAACAGAAGCTGCGCATGCTTGCAAGCAAGGGCGCGGTGGGAATGTTTTGAGACAGGGCACCGATCAGCATCGGACTCGATATCAGCACCATACCACTGTACTCTCAACGTCTCCCCACCCTCTTGCTCACCACCACCATCGCACCATCACTCTCCCCGCCCCCCCATTGTCGCCGCAGTGAATCATCTTTGTCTGACTTTGCGGTAAGTGAGAAATTGTCCGGGTAGTGCAGCTCAGCGACTGTGACTCAAACCTATTCACGCAAGGATCCTCCTACTCGAGCTATGCCAGTCCTTGACACCACTACCGGGCAATTCGTCGACATCCGATCCGATGGATCAGTCCCATACGCTATCCTCTCGCACACCTGGGATGCGGGAGGCAAGCAGTCCTACCAAGATGTACGCCGGATACAAGAATCGTCCGACCTCCGGCCTCGTGCGCTCCTCCGTAAGGCGATGCTCGCCTTCCTCTGGGTATTGTTCCTTGTCATGTCCACCATCCTCCACCTTCTGGCTTCCGTCTCGCGCAGTGGTCACCTTACATGCTCGCCGTTTTTGCGCTTACGCGACAGCACACGTGAGCGGGTGGCCGCACAGCTACGCTTCTGGTCCTACTCACTCCGGGAAACAGCGCACGGACTCTCGCTTCGCTTCTCCGTACTGAACGACCTCAGGCTATCAGAGAGGAATTGGGGGGCGTGCGCTATCGCCATCGCCGAAAACCTTCGCTTTCTGTGGATCGACTCGTCTTGCATTGACAAGACGAGCAGCTCCGAGTTGTCCGAGGCAATCAATTCCATGTGCGCCTGGTATCGTAATGCCGTGGTCTGTTATGCGTACCTGGTGGATGTTCCGTGGGCGGAAGACCTGCGATCCGAGGTCATATTACTATCTAGAGAGTGGCGACTCGTAGGGTCGAAGCGTAGCTTGGCTTCGCTCGTGGAGGAAATCACGGGGATCTACCAAGACATCCTGACAGGTGGGAGATCCCTTGATATTATTAGTGTCTCTCGTCACATGTCATGGCCCTCGAGGCGATCCACCACGCGCATCGAAGACCAGGCATATTCGTTGCTTAGTATATTCGATATCGTCCTGACTCCTATCTATGGAGAAGGCGACCGGGCGTTCAGGCGGCTGCAGGAAGAGATCCTGAGGCATATTCCAGACGAGAGCATCTTTGCATGGGAGTCAACGCCATTTCCGGATGATAGGATTCTGGGCTTCACTTCCTTCAAGGGCTCTTTCTCCCCTCCTAGGTACTGGTGCTCTTATAGCCGGATTCCAGGAACCTTCCTCCCGCCCTCACCGTATGCATTCCGAAATAGTCGCGACATCCATGGTGTTGAATATAGCAGACTGCTTTATAACTTTGCTGCCTTCCAAATACCTTTAGATCGGTATAATCTCCCTCGCAAGAGCTATGGCTCGTCGCCCTATGGCATCTCTTCCTCTCATTCCTCTGCGGAGCGGCCAGACACTTCAGCGTCTCATTCCAAACGCCTGGAGCCACGGTCCTAATGGCGTCGAGCTGTGGTTCTTGGTCGTGCTCTCTTGTTATCGCGCAAGCCATGTCGGACCTCATCTCTTAGCCCGGCTCTGCTGGAGCCCATGTCGCGACAGCAGGGATAACATGGACAACATGGACGGGCACCTGATTCTGAATCCTGGAACCCTTCGTGTTCTCACAAACATGAACGGGAAGCGTAAGCACATGTGGTGTGAGACCCCTTTCCCAATTTCCTTCCACAACCTCGTGTCATGCGGAGCAGATATACGTCCTAATCTGGTCTATATGCACTATCCTGGACGTCTCCGACGAGCTCTAGTGTCCAGTGACCGAGGGAGTGCCAGTACCCAGCTCAAGGTGACGATGCTACAATGGACGAAGACTCGCCTCCAGCTTCGTGGATATGTGGCTCAGTGGGGTGACGAAGACAAAGACACGAATGCACTTACTAGTCAATCTTCGGAGCATTCAATGGAGCCTCGTGTCGTTCTTCACCTTCGGAAACGCGGTGGATTATCCCTCAGTATATCCTGGACCTTCTCCCGAAAAAAAGGTTTCATGGTGGAATTAGAAGGCTATTACCGACCTAACCAGCTCGGTGTACGTGGGTCTGGCAGGGCTAGGGACCTGAACGCGGGCGCGAATCGCGTTGGACACTTTCTAAGCTTGCGTAACTTCGGAGGGCTCGAAGCTGTAACAGTGTACGCCGGACTGGCTAAACACGCGCCTAACCATTACTACCTACTCTTCATGGACATCGATGAATATCCGACACTCAAGGTGAGCAACGCCCTTCGCAATCAGCTGCAGACAGCTATTGAGATTCAGAAGAGTGATAGCGTCCCCAACGATCTCACTTCTTGCCCGCGCGAGATAGTCAGTGGCCCCTGGCGAGCGGCTGACGTCGCTCGCTATTCCGCTCCAGTCGACCAGGACCTTCACAAAGTATCGGGTCTTCCCACCGCATCGAAACCCAATCGTGAGCGAGAGCAAACGCCGTTCGAGGCCCTGTATCACGTCTCTGAGCTCGATCTCCAGCTTTGTCTTGGGCTTCATTCTGGTTTTGCTTGACGATTCTGGTCCAAACTTTCCCATCAACACCATATCCCGAGCGTTTGAGGTCTTTGCTTTCTCCCCCAAGATCCACCGAGCTCATTCTCATTCTGCGCCCGCTTGTCCCCCATTTCCCCTCCACACTCAGGCTACTCCTGCGCAGGGCAGCAGCGGGATTGAAACCGTCGTGCTATATGCAGGTGCAAGTCGTGCTTCAGGTTCTTGTTTCCGCGGCACGGACAGGTACCACACGTCCGCCCAGAGGGCATCATATAATTTCATCACACCGTTCAGACGTTCATCGCGCCAAATGTTTCTCTAACCCCTCCTTGCCAAGCATTCCCTCTGCCTATCAAATATTCTTGAAAACAGCATCCATATTCATAGAGGGCGCACAGTTGTACGGTGCACCCGGAGCACGTTGAGCGGTTTACATGTAGTGGAGCTGGATCAATGTCTCCCCTCACGGATAATCCGAATTCGGAAACTCCGGGGACAGCTCTCCCAATACGGATACGTCGACGTGCGAGTGGGCGTCGTCGCCGTTCTCCCTCGTCCCTGCCCATGCGTCAGCCACAGACTGTTGAGGTGAGCATCTGTTGATCTGGTCTCTTCCTCTGTTCCTCGACGTTCTCGAGCGACAGTGGATGGCCAGTCACTGGCCAGCCTTCAGAGTCGTTGCCGATCCCGGTCAAGCCCGCCTCATGCCGTGTCAATCACTCCGGCCGCCACCATCATCATCCTCCCCACTGACGGCCATGGCCTCGACCCCTTATCCACGAGACATCTTGCACCCGACTCTGACCATCCATTCCGAATTTCCATGCTCTTCTGGCACTCCCCCTATGGTCTCTCTTGCGGACCAACTCCTCCTCGTTGATCATAGGGCCGCTCAATTCTTGAGGACGCAGGACGCGTTCAGAGGCCATTGATGGAGATGATGGGCTAAGCGAGACTAGCCGACAAGCTCGCCTTCGAAACCCCTTGAGCGACGATGACATTCCTCCCCCTTCACAAAGTGCCTCAAGGGTAGTGTCAATCGATGCGGAAGGATTTCATCTTCAACATACTCGTGATTCATATTTTTATGTGAGGTTTGGGACACGACAGACCTCTTGAAAAACAACGGGCACGAGAAATGAGGTCGGTACCTCGCCGTATGCGGCAGGTTCGGCTAGCCCATCACATCCATCAAACGAGCTCTGAGTGCATCCTGCATCCTGCGTCCTGAAGAATTGAGCGGCCCTCATGTCTCACATCAAATTCGAGCCTAAGTCAGAGCCTTCTCTATCAGGTCAGTCCCTCGTTGCTCCTATCGCCGTCCCTACGATCACCGACTCCAACGGATCCATGGTCGACAAGAAGAACCCTCGCATGCGTCTGGGCCGCATGCAGGTCGAAGCGGGGCTGTGATGTCGCGCACGAATAAACGAGTAAGTCCCTCCTCCGCTCGTCCTCAAATCATCCTGGTTGCCAAATGCCCAACGATAGAGAGCAGAAAAACAAGATTCCGAAGCCGAGGATGTCAAGCGCATCAAGACAGACGACAACTCTCCTACCGAAGCCCTCGCTCCTCTTCAAGAAATCCCACAGAGGAATAGGAGTGCCGAGTTCTGGTATCCTGACGGTAACGTAGTCATCGTTATCGCCGACACCGCGTTCAAGCTCTACCAAGCACGCCTCTCGCGCTTCTCTGCGGTCTTCGCCAGACGCTTTGATACTGAGGACGTCCAAGCTTTGGAGCGGATGGATGGTTGCACCGTGTATCCTTTGACCGGGCTCAGTGTAGATGACTTCGAGCAATTTCTCGCGGTTTTAGAGGACCCCTTGTGCGTTGCTCCCTCTTTAAGGCGAGTACCTCCCCTAACAATTATCTTCTCCCGACGCCTTCGTGCAGTAAATTCACCTCCACGGCACCCTCCCAAGAGACTCTCATCCCCATCCTCCGCGCCTCCCAAGCCCTCGAGTGCCAGAAAGCGCGCGATCTTGCCGTCGAGAAGCTTCGCGCGCTCTGGCCGCATGACGACCCCTCCCTCCCGGGCGGCCGTCGCCCCTGGACGACTGCGGTAACCGTTATCCATGCCTCACGCGAATGCGCGGTGTCCGAGCTCCGCGTGCGCGCCTTGTACGAACTCATCCGCGACGCCCAGTTCTGGCACGCGCAAGCGCGGAAGCGCGCAACGATCGAGCTGTCCGACCAAGACATCATCGGGCTCTTCTTCGCGCGCCAGTGGTTGCAAGGGGCATGGCAGGAGTGCGCGTTCACCGCGCCATCTGCGAAGGGATATACGGGTGCTCCCGAGGGAGGTTGCGGCGGCGCGGTGCAGAGGGCGGGGTGCCTCCCAGGACGCGCGGCCGGCCCCACCCGGCGAGCAGCATGGCTGACCGACATAATCGTCACTGGCGACTTCGACAAGGGAAAACAAGATCCTATTGGCTACTTGCAGGCCATGGTTGAGGGAACAAAGAAGAGATACAGAGACGTAGGTTGGTGCGAGACATGCATGGAGGAGAGGAAGCAAGCGTGGAGGGAGGCTCAACAGAAATGGTGGGGCAGTCTCAGCGTGTTCTTCAAGAACTAGTATGCGTGTTATCCCATCGCAGCACCTGCAGATTTAGATAGACCGCAAACTGTGGCTAGTATGCATTGGATGTACCGCGCTGAAAGTGCAGAGTGACTCGTCGTGCTCTATGGCAATTCGCTGAGCTCACAATCAGTCTCTCTCGACCAGATATCGCTGTCTACAATTCAGTTTGCCCAATCTCCCTCCTATTGGAAGGTTTCAAACGACCCATGCAGAGTCCCACAGACGTGGTTGTCTTGCGAGGTTCACGGCAGAGTTCATAGACGTGAGGTAGCCGATCGCGGACACTGGGTGCTGTACTTCCCGACATCCCTCTTCGTTTCGAGTTGCGGAGGTTCTAGTAGCTCTTGCTGCAGTCCAACGACTTTGCCCGGAAGGCGCTTCGACTCATGCGAATTGTGGTTTCTTAGTACTTCAGCAGGCCCTCCACAGGCTGTTGAGCCAGTTCCATCTTTGTCGGAGAAGTCAGCAAGAACAAACGAAAGATGCAGGAGTCGCCCTGGTGGGACCGAGCCTCCGAGCCTTTGCGTGGTTAAGTGCGACAAGTCAGAGTCTTATATTCTGCATCACTTCGTGCTGTCATAACGCACTGTGTAAGGACTCCGATTAGAATGAACCTCATTGCGCCAACAAGACCGTAGTCAAGGTGTCGCCATCGAGAACACCCTGCCAGCTAGACTCCGCAAACCATCGGGCGGGCCCTCTTTGTATTACTGCCGTCAATTATGCGTGCGGACCAGTGCGCCGCATTCTCCATGTCTCGCTTGCGTACTTTTCTACGTTCCAAAGACGTCATCCGTTTTAATTTACGATCGCCGTAGTGAGAGCCCGAGGTTCGAGCTTCTCTGCAAACAGAGGTAAGGAAGACATGGTTTGTATATCTACAGCTTCTAATCCATTACACACAACTCTCTAACATACAAGCGGATATCGATACTATACTTCACCAATTTGGCCTCTCTTCTCGATATTCGTGGAGCCCATACTGCGATATACATCCTCCGACTCGCTATGGCACCCAAGTCTATCCACTGTCGAGTTAACGGTGTACTGTGTCCCAGCGCTACCAACCACAGAGTGATTGAACACTAGGGTACCCAGCGGTCCCGCCGCTCGCTCCGCCTCCCGCTCCCCATTGACCTGTGAGACCCCACGGTCGATTGGGGATCGCTTCATTGCGACAAGGACAATGATAAACGTCGGATATATTGCCTGCAGGTACGATGTGAGTGCTAACATCCGGGAGGAGAACTCGTAGCACACTGACGGCTATGGGCAAGAGACATGCATCAGTGAAAAACCACCCGGTTTGCGCGAAAGCGCTAGCACTGCTCGTCACTTCGGCCGGTCGCCTTAGTTGGTATACGGCCAGGAACATCTGCAGTGCATCATAAACCTGCTGTCCCTACCGAACACGAACACAGTGCTCACCAGCATGGCACAGTAAATAGTACCAGACTCGACGAGCAGAGCGAGCGCTCTCCAAGTAGCCGTTGCGCCTCCGTCTGAGCCGAAGTACGCCTTCACCGAACGTCTATGTTCCCTATTCTCAATGTATGTGATTAGCCGATGCGTCGGGTGAGACTGTTTTTATCCACTCACCATGCTTTGTACGCAATCAAAGAAGTCGCAAGCAAGTTCGTGACCATGGACAGGATCATGAAGGCATCCGCAAACCCATCGACACCTATCAGCATTTGGAGCTGCAAGGAGGGGCCAGTCTCTGAGTTGTGGACATTGATGACACCGCATACTGACAAAGACCGTGCATGAGAAGTTTGTACGCGAGGGACTTGTACAGTATGATGACGAACCGAGGGTCAAGGCCAAGAGCGGGGGTCCCATGAAGTAGACGATTCTGTTGCTCCACACAACACAGGCACGCCACCACACGACGGCATCGCCGATAATTATCTATCCGGATAGCAACGTCAGAACGCACATATCGTTTCAAAGCACAAGTTTGCACACATTAGTTCCGGCAGCGATCGTCATCATCCAGGACTGTATCCCGACGACGCGCTCGAGAGAAGCGGTGCTGCTGTCCGCGTCGTAGGTAGATGATGTGATGCCAGTCGTGGCTTGGGACATGATCTGGCTGACGCTTAGCCGGTTCCACACCAAGACGGACATGTAGACGCTTGTTGAAGAGTATAGAAGAAGGGTGCTAAGGAATAGCAGCAGAACCGATCTCCGAGCGAGCAACCCTTGACGACTGAGAGGGAACAGTCAGCATTGGCAGGATGGGAAGAGCGCAAAGAATCGCTTGCATGAGGAAGGCTAAGGCGACGCCCACGAGTGCCGTCAGGACACCTAGCGGATTGTCAGTCGTAGTTGACTGCCAAGTATTGCATAACATACCGAACGCTACACTTGCAATGAATAGCTGAACGCTTGACTGACTTTCGCTGCTGGTAAAGTATGTGATGATTGATAGTGCAGCTTCGTTGGCTCCAACCTCACGGGACAGTAAAGATATCGAGCTAGTCGGGGACATTGTAGCTGAGTCCAGCAAAGGAGGGTCGAAGAGAGCTCTGGAGAATCTAGGGACTCCACGCAGCGATGCGCCTTTAAGCTTCACACGGAGAAAGGGCAGATCATAGCACCCCGGCTCAGATCGGCATCGCATGACCCCAGCCCCGGAAGGGAAGATCGACAAGAAAAGACATGAATAAACGTGACGGTCGCCATCTCTCGGAAGCAGGCCAGACGATTATAGCTTCATCGCTCGCATTGCACAGGAGCCCTGAGCTCGTCTAGCGTGCTTCAGCCATACTGAGATACAAGTTGTTGCTCGCCATGAACTCGCCTCACGGACTCTGTCAACTTGCGGTGGACAGTCAAGACAAGTGGTGTCGCGATTGACCGGTGGGATATGCGCCGTGAATCGTCGTGTGACAGATGCTGGCAAATAAGATTGCTTCCGCAGCGGCTTCTTTCTCGGAAGCCTCGCGCATATAACCCCTGGCTGAGGTACGCTCTCACCTATATGCACAGGTCAGCCAACGCGTGGCGAGCTTATCGTGTGCTGAATGCGACAGACCTGGCCGTTGGATATTCTTGAGTGGCGGACCGTCGAAAGACGGTGCCTATGGCAGAGATACCGGCTTTTGAGCGGGTGCAAGGGTAAGGTTCGTAGACGCAACAAGGACAGGCATTGTACCAACTCCGGCCGAGCACCGGTCTGGATCTTCTGGCCTCACGTCGGCTCGCGTGCAGACGACATGATTCGTTTGCGGGCAGGCTGTCGCACTGTGATCGCCACAGACTTACGCTATCAAGAGGCCATGCACGTTAATTCGGATGACGAACAGTCATGCATCGGAATGCTCACTGAAGGGGGGGAGTTGCTATCGCTGTCTTGGAATGCTATGCAGTACAGCAATCCACGGGCGCATGTCAGATCTCGGAGCATATGAGCGAAAACGCCGGGCTTCCGAGCAAGCATAAAGCTTTGCGAGGACATACCTTCTGCTGCTTCTTGCCATGAGTGCTGATATAGTTACAGATCAGGTCGAGGTTGTTGCTCTGCCTTGGGTGAATATGCGATTCAGTTGAGCCGCTTCGCTGGCACTTCCGAAGCCGGTGTGGGCTGACCGATGCATATGACATCATCCACCCCAGGCGCTTGCATAGCGCTTGCCAGGCCTGTCCGAGTTTGTGCCTCGCCTCGTCTCTGCTCTAACGTGCATAAGCCACACGATCCCCCACCGGGCAGCTTGAGGAGACCATTCAACACTGACCAGTCAGGCTCGGAAAGTGAGTATGCGGCGGGCGGTGCACGGACATCTCGGGTGCGAATCAGGTTGCGCGCATGGGTAGAGCTCGCACGGACGATCCGAGAGGAAGAGAGATAGGGGGAGAGTGAGCAGCGAGGACGAAGGCGGCGGGTAGTGAAAAGGAGATGGCGAGGAAGGAGGCATGCGCTGTGGACTGCAGCTGAGGTCGTAGGGGGAGGCCCAGTACTCGGGCGGGCTGGCGTTGGGGCGACGACCGAGTGCAGCACCCGTCGGTGGGCTATGCGGCAGGGGTGGACGACGCAATGCGCTCTGATGGCGACCAGCCGGCAAAAGATGGTCAGAAATAATAACAAGGAGTCCGTAGCTCATCCTACCCCATCTCCTCCCTCAACCTCCGACGATCAAGTCGTCATCTCTGACATTCGTCGTCGTCCATCGTCCGCCTCCAGCTCGCGCGTTGGGAGCTTCGCCAGGCGTATGAAGCGCGCTCCTCCGCGTCCCCCCTGGCAGCAACATGGCGTGCACGCGCTGCCCGGCGTCTGGCGCCCGGGACGGCAAGAAGCCCCGCCGCGCCGCCGCGTGGGCCGTCGACATCGCCCGGGGACCCCCCATTCTCTCGTCCTCGCGCGAAGCGATCATGCAGACGCACGCCGTGCAGCAGTGGCTGGAGGGGCTCAAGCGCCAGAGCGAGCACGAGTGGTGCACGCGGCCTTCGGTGGCGAAATTCCTATCTAAGCTGGTTTCCTTTGCGGACGTCGTCTGGTGTGTGAGAGCCTGGTCTCGTAAGACTGCGGTAGTATGATGGTGTGCGTTTACCTGCAGTCAGAAAGGCACCGCTGGTGCGGTCGTCACTCTGTGCACGCCCTGGCAGCGTTGAGAGGTGAAAGCGAGATCTCTTCCGGCACTCGTATATCGTACAACCGATTATCCTCAGGTGTATGCGTGCGCTTTCATGATTCAGCGCATGCCTGCGGAACCCTCCCTACCTCAGTTCGTGGTCGCATCCGTGAACGACGTCGTCGCGAACCCGACCTGGCTGTTTCCCTCGTCGAACACGTAGTAGAACCGCTGGAGGAACGCGAAGCCGTCGACAAAGTCCATGCCCTTGCCGCTTGGCCTGCCCAGGTCGTTCACGATGAGGTAGATGCTATCCGCCTGTCCTCCGATGCCTGTGTTCAGCTGGACGCAAGGGAAGAGAGCACGTCAGAGTGTATGTGACCAGCGTGCATAAACCTCGAAAGGGAAGATCACGTACAGCACGCGGCCAAAGCTGCGCATTCGGCGTGAGCTCGTATGCAGTCTGCCAAATCATCAGGTGGGGATCCTACACAGGCGAAAGGTGGTTTGGTCTAATGACGTACGCCGCCGATGTTGAAGGTCAAAGGCTGCAGATTGCTGAATTGTTCCGGCGTAATCTGGAGAAACCCGGTCACTAGGTCAAGGGTGGCTCCCGTAACCTGCTGATATTTCTGTAATGCATCTGGCACAGCACAAAGCGACGTCAGTCGGCGCACCACTGGCAGCGAACTAGGATTGAGCTGACCGGAGGCGAGGAGAATGAGGGTAGTGCCGGTGTCGGTGATACCCGCAGAAGAGAGAAGCTCTGTGCTCCCGTACGAGATGGTTTGATCGATGCCAACAAACTGATCGGCTGGCGACGTCGAAGTGATGGGCCTGTACACGGAGACAGTACGTCTGTGAGCCAAGCACAAGAGCTCACAGCAAGTCGTCTAGACTCGGGGACGCACACAAAGTGCAGAGGACCGGTGAACTTCGAGGGGTCGATCGCACCAAACGTCAGCTCCCCGTTCACCTGATCCGGGGAAGTCGTGGGCTCGAACGAGATGCCGATGAGACGCTCCGGGATGAGCCCCTGGGAGAAGGCGTTCTCCGTGACGGTTGTGATCGTCCCTCCGCCGGAAATGGTGCCAGAAGTCAAGTCGACTGGTCCGATGCTACGAGCGGAGGATTCGTAAAGAGAAACCCCGTGGAGACGAGGGTGCTCACCCCAAGATTCCGTCCACGCCGTCGAAGCCCACCGCAACCTGGGCCGAGCCTACGCCCTGGTTCGGAATCACAAGACTACCAAGCGTCACCGTATCGACAAACTCTTCCCCGGCGAAGGACCCAGAGCCGTATGTAACCGCCTGAATTGAACATTCCAAGCCGGCGTCAGTGACAGTCGTCACGGAAACACGATCTCGTATGCAGCCAGACATCGAACCCACCACTTCTTCGTTTGTATCGACGCTGCTGCCCGTCTTCACATACGGTTTGTCGGGGGTCGCACCGACCCAGGTGACAGAGCTCCCGGTATCGACGATCAGGTCGTAGAACGTAGGCGGAGAGCCGACGCCCACGCTGGCGACGTAGCTCACGACGCCGTCGGACACGTCGAAATCGACCTGCCGCCTGAACGAGGTCGACCCGTTCGTGTTGGACGTGGACGCCTTCGCTTGAGCTGCGCGCGCTGCGAGAAACCTCGCACGGGCTTGATCCCGTTGGACGATGGTCTGACCTCCGGTCGCCGTAGCGTTGAAGCGACGCACAAGGGGAAGTGAGATGGGCGGGTCACGGATGACAATAGGATTGGCTGCAGCGCCCGCCGTGAGTGCGGTGACGCAAAGGGCGAGGAGTGTAGTGAAGCGAGGCATGACAAGGGAGCCAGTCTGAGTGAAGGAGAGGGATGTCTGAGACTACCCTTGAAGGGCAGGTGGGTGGTGGACGAACCTAATATACTTGTGTCATATGTGCGGGCATCGGCTTAATGATTGCTGGGCCGTGTGTGCATCGCATGACAGCACACACTAATGGTACTAGCTAGTGCACTCATACGGATTCGTCGGGAATGTACTTCCACTGAAGCAAAGCGACTCTGGGAAGATGCGTGCCTGGAATTGTACTGAATAGGGGCATCGACCGCTCCCACCGTTTCGCAGACGGGTCGTCTTGGCCACTTGTCTCCCACGGTGATGGTTCGTACCGAGTTTGGAGCTGCTCGAAATCTGCTTGCATATTCTGCGTCTAGACGAACAAGTGAGAATCGAATCTCCGAGCGAGAACAGCATACGCTCTCCTGCCATATGACAGGCTGATCGCTGTCGGCGGTTTCGACTGCGGACGAAGCTCGTTTTGCGACCTCGAATGTTTAGCAAGTTCTCAGGAGAGTCCGGCTGTTCGCCTGGTTGGGGACCGATCGAGAACCCTGTGCACCGAAGGTGAGACGTGATGGGTCTAAGATACACGATTTCACTCACCATGAAAGCCCGTTCTATCACCCGGTGCGTTCTGACGGTTGACAGTATGCTGGGAAATGAATGACATTCCTGAGTACAGACGCGCATGGCATTAGACTGACATGATAGGACGAGTTAGAGCCGCGCATCTGTGGGCAGCATATCCACCACCAAGGCCACGGCGCTCGCCCTCGTGCGCTATCGACTCCGCCGTTTGCAATGCGACATCCACGATGTAGACAAGATACGACTCACGAGTACTCAAGCACCGCGAGCCTAAGTCCAGTCAGGCAGCCATCGTATTCGTTTCCTTCCCATGGCAGGTTAGTTATGATCAGTCCTGTAAGGTGTTTCAGGCAACCGAAGATAGCTTGAGATGCGGCCTAGTAATCACGCCAATCCTATTTGATGGTTCATATCAGATCACCGTCCGCCATAGTCTCAGAAAAGCTGGCATACGATGATACAGTGGGTCAGAAACAGCCACTTTGCAAGTTAACTTGCGATAATCGTGCGTTTAGGCCATGCCATACGGAATTGAATGGGTATACAGGCAGCCGTCGCAAGAGTTGCGGGCGCAAACGCGCGCTGCGAGAACCGATTGTGGCTTTTGCAGCCCACGGACTGAGGTCTGTATAAGATCCATGCTGGTCGTCAATGATTCATTACGGTCCTTCAGCTGTAGATTAGTAGGCGTCGTTCACGCGACTTAGAAACGCACCCACGCACAAGTGCACCATGCGAGATGGGGAGTCGCAATCAATGCATGTACTGGGGATTTGTTGCCTTTGCTGCAGTAGCAGGTATGGATGTAGAAGCTGAGATCCTCTATAGAGGCTCCGAGGCTAACCAGGATCAGAGAATAACTAAGTGTCGAACATTGAGTAGTATACTAGTCAAGCCTATGTAGTCAGGACTCGGAGAGACCGTGAAAGCAAGCGCGGCGGCTGTACCGGTTCTCTCCGAGGGGACGTTCACACGCCTGCGGGCGTCTCAGCCCATTGTACATCGCAACGTGCGCCGACCTCCCTTCTGCCCTTCCGTCCCTCTATGTAATCTGAAGAGGGCCAATCTTGTCAACCCATATCCTCGACATGAACTCTATGGCACATCACTAAGTAGTGCTGTGGATCTTGGTCTGCCTTTTCGCCACTATTCATCCCAGGTGAGAACTATCTGTGCCGAAGCAACCTCTGATCAGAGAACAATGCATCGAGAAGCAAGCAAGAAGCAGATGGATCATGGCGGTGGTCGACATATCATGATCTAGCATCGGTATTAGCGGTAACTGACGTCCCTCCCTAATAATCTCCGCGCGGTTCGCATGTCGCCTATCCATTCCTTGATTGTTTTCTGACTGTGCCTCTCGGCGGTTCCACATCCAATGACGCACTCTGGAATACTCGTTTAGCTCCAGGTATGTCTCACGTTCACTGCCTTTTCTCTCTCCCTGATGAACCCGGGACCGCCATGGTGAGCATTCCATTTCACGGTCATTTCTACTCCCTCAAGCATTCTCTTGGCTTCGCGCAAGTCACCCGAATGCCGCTAATAGCCAGGGCAATGGGCCTTTTTGGTCGAGTTTGATACAGCGGGAGTACATGCGTGTGTCTCCGGAAGGTTCGTCCCACTGCCATCACATCTGTCCACCGATGACGCCGACCCTTCCAGTATACTTATGTCTGGCTTGCTCTCCGCTTGGGCGTGTACGCACGCCCAATGCTGGCGGGGCCTATGTCTCCGGTCTCACCACTCACGACCTCAATGCCCGCGGCTGAGCAAGTCCTACTCTGGATCTACACCAACCCCGCGCGCCGCGTGCACGACTCCGCTTTTTACAAATGGCACGAAGCCGAGCGCATGCCCGCCCTCCTCGACATTCCCGAATCGCTCTTCCTCTCCTGCACGCGCTGGATAGCCGCAGATCGCAAGACGCCTACGTATCTCTCCCTCTACGACCTGGCCCTCCGCAGTACCGTACACGACCCCGAGTATATTGCTCTCAACGAGAAGCACGCGCTCGAGACTCGCCGAGCCGAGTTTGTTGAGAGTCGCGTGTACGAACCGGTAGACGTGCTATGTCCCTCGCCCACATGGACGACTGACAGCATCACAACGGATGAATACGCACCTTCACGGTATATCACCGTGGTGGAAGCGGACTTGGCGATGTTCGCAGAAAGCGAGTTCTGCCGGTGGTACGACGAGGAACACATCCCACTCCTGTCGCGCGTGCCCGGTTGGGTTCGCAGCCGCCGCTTCGTTCTGCAGGAAGTCCTCGGTGTTGAGGCGACGGAATCTGACCAGGAACTGAGCGGTGGAGAGACGGAGATGGACAGCGACGGTGGGAGCGAAGGGGAGCAAGAGCGGAGGCCGGAATGGACACAGGGAATGAGGATTCTTCCGGACCGTCCTCCGAAGTTCCTGGCGATACACGAATGGACTTCGCTGGACGTATTTGAGACGAAGCAGTACAGACATGCGACGACTACACCGTGGAGGACGGAAGTCCTGAAGGCAGATAGAGTGCTACGCTATCACATACGTGCCTTTAGGGCGTCGTAGAGCATGTCGCCGTGGCTTGGACGACTCCGACTGTTTTGTATATTCGTTCTCTCTGTTGTGTACTGTGTACTGATGATTTGGTTCGTAATACGAGTAGTGTGCTCCACGCACCTTCTACCGAACCTCATACGCGATTTCGATACCAGCCTCGTTCACAGAATTCGACCAACCAGGATACGACGCCCGCATCAATATTCCTACTTTGTCGCCTGCGCGTAAGGACTTCACAAAGCCCTCGCCCGCCCCAGCTCCATGGTCCTCGGCACCCTCGGACACTCCATCTGCAGTCCATACAAAGGTATGCCGTTCGAATTCGCCCTTTGCGACGCGATTTGATTGCAATCGCCAAACGCAACTGTCACCATTCCGAACAAGGGACCAACCGGCTGGCGCCAGCACTTTGCGCTCCATCATCTCCGCATCTCGATAGACCCTATAGAGTCTCTCGACATTGATGTCTTTCTGCGATTTATCCTCTGCAGAGTGGACGCGACGAAATATACACGCCTCGTACCAGGAGTACGCAGGTGAGTACATGCCTTCGATTTGACGTTGGAAATATTCAGCATTGAGCTGCGCGCCGAGAAGCAGTTGATAGCAAGAGAGGCGCGTCCTCACCTGGTGCCTCCCCTCCCCAGCCTTGGTCATGCCCCTTCACGAGCCAGGTCACGTTTACGACCTTCATGAGCTCGTCGCCGCTACTCTCTTGAGGAAGGGTAGCAATGAGGTAAAGTCGTGCCGCATGCACGTCCACCCCGGCATCGTGTGCGTCGATGCGAATGTATCCCGTTCGTCTGGAGCGCACGGTGGCGTAGTAGTCGGCAAGAATCATGGTGATCAGGACGAGCTCCATAGGTAGCCCGAGTGCGCATAGGACGCCGCGCACGGCGCGCACATGAGCCGACGTTATGACGGTGTCCTTCTCCAAGGGGACTCGGCATGGGATGGGGGCTATGTCTGGAGTAATAGTGGTATTGTCGTGATCGACCCTGCCGCTGACAGCAGGCCTGGCGCGTATGATGCGTCGGAAACGACTGGTGCACTTGGTGGGAGACATGGTGGAAGATTCGGTGCTTGAGTGGCTGGGGCTGTAGCTGCGTTGCAATCGTGAGAGGGATCAAGCGCCGTCACATACTGATGGCAGGGCACCATAATATATTGGAAGATGCAGTGCTGATTCCGGCGGGACCTAACTCGGGACCAGACGTTCGGAGCCTCAAGAGGGGACCGAAAATCGAGGTTCCACAGTACTTGCGGTGGTTCTGCTTGTTGTCATCAGTGCCAGTGAAAGCCGCAACTCTCAGCTCTTGTATGCGCCACGGAGTGGAATGTTCTACGAGTTTCGCAATGTGCAAGGGTCGAGCTCAGTTGGTAGGTAGAGACTCGTTCGTGAGACGGTCAATATTGACACGACTACTAGTATCGCTGTCTTCGCAGTTGCTGTCATGTTATACAGGTCTCTTCAGTGTAGGACTCCCAGTGACGAACCACGTGCATTATCGCGGTTTGCTTTGACCACATCTATTGTAGGGCTGCCTGACATCAGATGAGGCAACAGAACCTGCACCAACGCCGGAAATCTACGATTGTCCGAAATGCATGACCCAGTGGCTCATACATTGGCACATGCCAGTACTTTAAGCTAAGTTATATAACGCTTCTAAGGCGCAACACGGTTCAGCAGAGAATCCCTTCTGATCATTATGGACGTCGCATGCATTTCTACTCAGAACCGTGGTTTCTGCCTCACACGAACAGTCTACCATCATGCAAATCCTATACACTCGCACGCTCACTGCTCAAAATGCCTACGCGAACCCCATTGTACCCTCAACGGACCCGACCTCGTCCTCTTTCGCTGCAACGGCTGTGGGATGAGAACATATTGTGTGCGTTGTTACCGTATCCTGCAGATTATACATCGCCTTGATGATGTGTAAGCATACAGTCCAAGGAATGCCAGGTTGCGGACCGGCGAAGACACCAGAACAAATGCGCATACTACATGCAATATCGAGATGTGGCCGTTCGGCTTTCCGAAAAGCCAAGTGCATGGCTGGACCTCGTTACATGGGTCGACTATCACCATACAAACCTCGCCAATGGATGACTTCCCATAAGGATCTACGGCCATTTTGTCGTCCGTAGATACTGAAAGTGTCCTATCCGCCGAGATGCCGATGCCGATTTGTACTCCGCTTTCGAGGCCGACGTCCGTAGATGCTGCAAGCGCCCAAAATCTAGAAGGGGGGGTCGACCCCCCTTTCTAGACCTAAACGCAGCCGTAGAAGCTCGCTTGAGGTCGTAAACGACTCGAAAGGAAGGTGCCATCATTACAAATTGTGTTGGGATCAATCGCCTACTACATTGGGTGCTGATGTAAGGCGCAAAAGAGCACGTGCATAGCATTAGACGCTCTCCGGATATCCCGGCCTGATCATTGAGCGCCCGAGATCTCTGGACAGATTAGAGCTCCGATATATGTCTACGGACACTCCAGAGCCGTAGATCCTTATGGGAAGTCATCCAATGTAACGCTCGCTTGCTACCTACTCCAGAAAGACGCCGTCGTCGACATCACATCCGTGTTCTATCTGCACATCTGCCTCATCTATCGGAACGACCCATCCATCCCGGTACAGCAGAAATTCAATGTTATGAGCACCATGATGTGCCGAAGGGACTCCATGTTTGGCGGTGAAGAGCTGCGTGAACTGGCCCTCGAACACCGCGATGCCGTGAAGGAGGGGCAGTTAGAGCTCGGGAGCAGTTATTGGGGGACGGGAACGTACTTCATCGAGGTCAGCTTTCATCGGGAAGATAAAGACATGCCATGGGTTAAAGACTGGACACCATTGTGGAAACATTTTGGCATCGATACATGGCGACGCAATGCCCGGGTAGCGTGTGGAGAGGCTCCTTTGGTCGGACTCGGAGCTAATCTGGCTGATGGGTGCCGTAGGTACTCCTGCTGTGAGCAGATGCGCTATGGGCACAGTTGCGCGTGCAGCAGTGGGCAGTATGCGGTGATGGAAGAGGTAGACGTCAAGCAAGGCCCGGGTAGTGCACTATAGCGTAGTACTAGTAGTAGTTGAAGACGGTGTCTTATGATCATGCACAGTGCGGTAGTTACCGATTCGGGACGCCGAGATCGAGATCGGATCGTTATTAAACGCTGCCTGCGCTTCCTCGGGGGCTGGGGTGAATGCAGACGCGCTCACTTCCGTCTTCACAGCCCCCATGAAGCTGTCGAGCTCATACACATGCACTCCTCACCCCACAATACAAGACCTTGATGGCACTGTGACCCCAAGGATACGAGCTAGGCTCGGTAAAGGCCGACGACAATTTGATGCGAGGGCGCCTCATGGGGCTCATATCTGTCTGTCTTGTCTTTTCACCTCCATCCTCCCCCTCGTCTGTAGTACCCGCAGACAATGGAGCGTACAGACCCTATTACCCACGATCACTGTGAACTTGGACTCTTTCATGACGTCGAACCTCTTCACACCCACACGCACTGCAAGAAGTGCTTCCGGATGCGCCGCTGCGAAGGCAACGGCAGCTTGAAGCTGTTCCGGTGTTCCGGGTGCAGTGTCGCGACATACTGTGTGAGTTCCCCCAACACCTCAGCTGAACTCTATCGCCGATTTTATGCGTAGTCCAAGGAGTGTCAGAAAGCGCATTGGCGCGACGGACATAAGGAGGCTTGCGCGACGTACAAGCTCTTCCGTGACCGCGCAATCCAGCTATCGGGCAATCCTCACGCTTGGTCCGATCTCATGCAGTGGGCCGAGTATCATCACTCCTCCATCATCAACGCGACGCTCGCGTGCTACATCCACAAGAAGGACTTCGTCCCCGATGTCACGAACAAGTACCTGCTTCAGCTCTCGCTCAACTACATCAACGACCCCTCGCTCCCGGTCGAGAAGAAGTTCGAGTTGCGTGGAGCGCACTTTTCTTCCAAGGACGAGCCTCTCTGCGCACCGCTTTACAAGGTGGTCTTCGCCCAGCGTCCTGCGGCGGTCGAGATAGGCAAGATGGAGATGGGCAGGAAGCTGTACTGGGGCACCGGCGCTTACCTCCTCATGGCGCGCTTCCGTCCCGACCAGGTCCAGTTCGGTACGGACGGCATCCCTTTCTGGAAGCACTTTGGAATCGACGCTCTGCATGCGATGGCGAGGCCTGCATGCCGCAACCCTCTGGACCAGCTCGAGGAGAACCTGATGGAGGGTCTTAAGATGAAGTTCTGCTGTGGTCAGCTCGAGGGCCTCCCGACGTGTTGCTGCGGTGGATGGACGCACGAAAAGGTACGTGTGCTTCCCTGCTATGGGCGAACATTGGGCTGAGCAACGCATCCCAACAGTCGGGACACGGACCAAAGGTTGGGTGGTGGTTAGGTACAATTGCACAATGCCGTCGCAGTGTACGTCGTGCGTCATCTCCGGGTACACTATGGTATCCTCGTGTTCCGATGGAGCGGATGTTCTTGAAGCATGGTGATCCCGCTACCTCTGGTGTATTCTCGGACCTCCATGACAGGTCTCCTGGCACGTATACATCTCTTCCGGGTTTGATTTTAGGAACTCGACTTGCAGCCAGAGGAGAGACGCTACCAGCTCCTCAAGGACGTTCTTACGTGTCTCCAAATCCTTTGGCGATCGACTCCCCGGTGTAGGTAGAATCGCATCCGATTGGCTCCAAAAAGGGCAACCGCCACGCTCCTCCTGATGGCCTGGTCCCTCCACTGCATCCGATTGTGCAACCTCGCCTCCCTCATAAGTAGAGTCCGCCTTGTACGAACGGATCAGAAACTGCGCTTCCCAGCATGATTGTTGTTCGTCGTAAGGCACTGTAAGTTCCTCACACATCGCTGGCCAGGGCCGGCAGAGCAGAAGGGGAAGGCACGATCGTGTGTGGTGGCGCCCAGTTGAGCAAAGCCACGCCTATATAGGGCGAGTCGCTGATGTTTCGACGATGGCAGAGCGTACTAACTGACTGCCGGGAAGCTTCCAACAGATTTGCTGGACCACCTCCTGAGCAGCTCCGGACTTTAGACGTCGTTAGAAGTACCGCTGCCAACTTCAGGGCGGATTCGGCCTGCTGTGCCCTTATCCTCTCGTGTCAGGCGCAGAACTGGCCCACGACGACGATTCGGTGTCCTGTTCAAGAAGCCGTCCTTCCTCCCCTCGAGCGAGCCGCGCTTTTCATCTCGTCCTCGTGTCTTTTCCAGCATGTTGTCGCCATCCTGTGGACCTGATCGCGATTCCTTCTCGGAGTCTTGGCAACAAGTATAAGGCCTGGGTGCTCCTCTGGTTCATCCTCTCAGCCACCGCGCGACCCCTACACCCACTGCGATCCTCTTTCGACCATGGCTCGCTTCTCAACTCTCTTCGGTCTTTGCGCCGCGGCTCTAGCCATGGGCGTCGCTGCCCTGAGCCCAGTGGTCATTCGCGACTCGCTCATCACGCTTCCCCTGGCGCGCCATATCAACACGACCGCGTCCAGGAACATCGTCGCACACGATCAGGCCCGCGCAAAAGTCCTCAGGTCGCGCTCACAGGGCGCCGCAGGGGTCGTCAGCGATCTCAGGAAGGGACCCGATGGGATCCCCATCCAGGAAAGCTTCGATGTATATACCGTCGATGTGCAAGTCGGCACTCCGCCGACTACGTACACTCTCATCGTCGACACAGGCAGCTCGAACACGTGGGTCGGCGCGGGCACTCCCTACGAACAAACCAACAGCAGCATAGACACGGGCGATGATGTGGTGAATGAAACGTCGCCCTTCAATGCCATAGTATCATGCTAACTGATTCTATCCATATGACTTGTAGGTGGTGTTTTATGGGTCGGGATTGTTCGAAGGGGAAGAGTTTTTGGACACAGTATCGGTCGGCTCCCTTACGATCCATAACCAGAGCATCGGAGCCGCCGAGTTTGCATTTGGGTTTGAAGGGTTCGATGGCATTCTGGGGTAAGCTCATCGCATACTGCGAAATCAACAAGGGGGTTTGAAGTACGGTTGCTCGACAGGCTTGGTCCGACCGACTTGACAGAGGATACTACATCCGACGGCAACGCAGTTCCGACGTTCCTCGACAACGCATTCGCGAAAAGTCTCGTCCAAGAGAAAACCCTCGGGATCTCGTTCGAGCCCGCTATCGGTAACGGTGAGCTCACCATTGGCGGCACGAACAGACTCAAGTTCTTTGGGGAATTGGACTTCGTGTGAGAGATCCTGCCCTTGTGCTATGCGTTGCATTGACAGTTGTCATCCTGTGTCTCGTTAGACCTTTGACCTCAACGTCTCCTGCATCGGATTATGTCGGTATTGATCAATCCATCACGTACGGCATTGGCCGCGGTTCAACAACAATCATGTCCTCCACTGCGGGTATCGTAGATACGGGTACCACTCTTATCCTGATCCCCAGCGGTTGGTGACACTCCTGCTTCCAACGAGTTGAGATGGCAACCTAAGAGATATCTAGATGCGCTTGCCACGTACCAAAACATCACAGGAGCGGTCTTGGACGAAGACACCGGATTCCTCTCAATCACAAAGGAGCAATACGACAACCTCGAGAGCCTGTTCTTCCATATCGGCAAGGTCTCTCTCTTCCTGCACGAAAGGTTGTATTCTGGTACTTACCATCCTGCATAGAACACGTACGAGATCACCCCGAATGCCCAGATCTGGCCCCGAGCTGTAAGGTTCATCGCTCGCCTGTCTACGATTTCAACACTGACCCTCGTGCGCAATATGATTCAGCTCAACACAGCCATCGGCGGGGAAGCGGGGAGTATCTATCTCATACTGGGAGATAGCGGCGTGGATACTGGCTCTGGACTCGACTTCATCAACGGCTATGCCTTCCTCCAGCGTTTCTACCATGCCGTCGACTACACGGGCGAACGCGCCGGATTTGCGTTCACGGAGTATACTTATGCGACCAGCAACTAAGGACTGAAGTCGAGATGTGACGAGATGTGACGGAGCGGACAAAGCGATATGTACCTAGGGGACGAACAGGTCGTTATATAGGTGCCATCATTTCGAAGAGGCTATCGCTAAGTCTCCTGAATTTCTTGCCTTCGTCCACGATTACAATACGTAGTGTGTAAAGCGGTAGCAATGAGCACGAACAGGTCCATCTGAGCATTTGCGGGCGTAGTGAGCACTCCGCATCTTCCTGATTCGCATGATAGCCATGATTTGATGAGATGGCGCACAATGCTACTAGTGACGAAAAGAGAGCATCATGGGGCCCGCTTTCATGCGTACCGCTCGTAGGGAGGCTACGAGATCTTGTGGATCTGCCTGTGACGGGCTGCCGTCACGCCTTGTCTGGAGAGGTGGCTCTGCGTTTGTCGCTGCTGCTTGCTTGTCCTCCAAGTCTATCCTCGCGATTCGACTCCTCTGCCTCGGCTCTGCGTTCTACTAGGCTCTCTTGCTGGCTGTCTCTGTGTCTGTGTGCACGGATCAAGCTGGCGAAGCTGATCAATAGCACATGGCACCGCTCGCACGGTAGCTCCCTGGCGGACGCCGAACAAGTGCATTGACTGCATCATCATCCCTCCCGGCCAATGTCGCCCTAGCCCCGCCCCTTAGCCGTCTTTGTCTGCCTCCTCGGCGACTCTCTGGCTAGGTCGCTCAGCCTTACCCTCCTCCACTTGTCCTCTGGCTTGCTCGCGGTGCCCGTGCGCGTCGATTCAAACAAGATGAGGGCGCCTTCATCAGCGCTCCTCGACCATCCCCGTTCCCTCGATGCTCGGACAACCGTAACTCTCCGCGCAGAGGCCACTAACACCCGTATGATATATTCTGGTCGCTGGATCATCAACGAGACTGGCGCTCATCCTTCGTATCGAATCGGAGACTCCGAGGCTGCGTCGATCACTTTCTACTTTGCCGGTACGTCTCACCACTGAGCGATCCCGAGCACTCTGTCTATACCGCGTATTACAGGCTCGTCGCTATCCGTCTTCACAATCGGTCTACTTGACGAGGAACCCTCCGAGAACACGGCACACTTCCATGCCACATACATGGTTGACGGGCGGGAAGACCTGTGTACTCCTTCACAACGCTCGTCGCACGCCGCGTCTCCCGTCATAGCCCTGGTTGACTGTCATGCACCTCCGTCTGCAGGTCGGCATGTTTTCCTCCTTAGTGCACGCTCTCCGTCCTTTAGCTTCTCGCACATCGAGATATACCTCGCACCCTCACCCGCGCCTACACTTCCACCCTCTCCCAACCAGCAAATGGACCCCCGACCTGTCCTCCGACACTATCTCGATGGCCCTTCGCGCGTCGTGCACCGTCGTGACGGCGATTCGCCCGTGTCCCAGTCTTCTCCCACAGGTGAACCCACCGCGTTCAGCCCCACCGGCCAGCTCATGCCGCCCTGTCCCTTCACACCCGACTGCGACATTCCTGGCCCCAGCTGCATCAACCCCGGTCTTCCCTCAAGCTGTTCATTCCCATTTCCTCCATCTGGTATCAGCTTACCTACTGCTTCCTACAACTCCAACGGGGTCACAACTGAGACTGCGACCGCAACCGTCAGCAGTATGACGAACACCTTCCCGGTGCCTAGCGCGGTGTCCATGCCACCAGAGCCCTCATGGCCTATGCCTTATCCGCCGTACCCTCCTCAAAGCTGGCCCGAGGCTCCCTCCGCGACTAGCTCACAGGCATCCTCATCATCGATAGGGGACATGTCCATCTCGCGCGGTCTAACTCCTGGGGGCATCGCGGGGATCGTAGTGGGAAGCGTCGGCGGGGTTCTATTGTTAACGTTGTTCGTGTGGTTGCTAAGGAGGGGGACATTTGGGAGCGGGACGTTGTTTGGGTTCAGGTATGGGGATGCGCGGTATTCAGGGTGGAAGGCCGGTGTGACAGGGACGGAGATGAGGAAGAGGGATGTGGAAGGATATGTTACCGGTGAGTATATCGCGCTATTCCGTTTGCCTGAGCAGGTCTCAGCAGGACTATTGCCCTTTAAACGGGAGGCCATGCATCTGCTTGTTCAGCCTCCGTGTATCTCCTACAACTTGTAGTTGGCAGTCTCAGTCTCACCGCTCGCCCAACACCCGCTGACCTCATTCCTCCTCTACGCAGATCCCGTATCTTCTTCTGAAGGCTCGACTCTCGCCGCTCCCTTCGTCTCCGCGACGAAGCCCCCTCCCTACTCCCAAGACTCTTTCCAAGCCTCATCCGCTTCGTCCCTCCGTAAACCGCCCCCTTTACCCGCATTTTCACCCACACCCCCCTGGTCGACGTCATCGTCCGCGTTCGATCACGTATATGCCGTCAGCTCCGTCTCCGGGGCGTCCTGCTCCCATACCCAGACATACTCCGTCTCGATGTCCGTCTCGGACATGTCCACGCTGGTCTCTGAGCCCGTCCAGTCTCGCCCTCGAAGCTCGACGACGTACACAAACACGAGTCGGCTCAGCGTAGGCCCGGCGTATGCCTACCGCCCGGTGCCCATTCCTGAGCGAGTACGGAGCCCCCCGTCGACGGTATCGACATCTATGGTCAGCTTCGATCGCTCCGACCTCGATGGCCCGGCCCCGGATGTGGCCCCGTCGGAAACGGGGTCGGCGGAGCCGGAACCAGAAACCGAGACCGAAGGGGAGTCGCACTGGGAGTTGATGACCGTGGAGAGCGAGGTTCCGTTCGCGCACGCGAGGAGAGCAAGTGGGACAGGTCGTCTTGGTGAGGGTGGGTAGGCGAACGCACGACATCAGGGAATTTGCGTGTGTATTTAGGTCGCTATCGTATCGCTATGCTAATGTATCACTTTTCTTTCGCACCGAGAACGGTCTCCGAGGGGCCCAGCTCGCGTTGTCAGCCAGAACGGCGACTCCTCGAGGGCGACGCCCTAGTTCCCGATCCCGCTACACTCTGGCTTGTGTTTCAAATGTGCCGGCTTCGCTCACCGTTCCTTGATCGCCGACGCCGGAGCGTAGGCGTGCCACCTGGCGACTCCTACACTTCAAGGGCTTTGCCTGCGAGATTGCAGTCACGAAGGTACAAGGTCTCAACTATCACTTGGTATGTCCGATTCGTATCTTCATCAAGGCGTCGGGTTGAGCACAACCTGCCACGCATCGCTCGATCATGCTCGTTACCTCTCCGTCGTATTGACTTACGCTATTCTGACAGCCCTCCGCTCGATTCTTCTCAGCCGCCGACCGTTATGCCGGCCTACTACCGGGTGTTCGTGATAGATTCACTCGTCGGAAAGCGTGGCTCATCCGAATCGGAGTGGACGACGATGCGCTGCGCCTCGTCTGAGGACGGAAAGCTCGCGCGAGTGCGAGCGGTATCCGCCAGCCTCGACCCATGGTTGTCCGCCAGCGCCGGAGCGCGCTAGGCGGTGCATGTCGACTTCTCTTACGCGTAGTTAGATAGATCCGGGAAGGAAGCGTATGGCGCATTAGGACCGAAAGCGACTGCGCAGCGGCTCATCTTCGGGCACGCGGAAGATGCGAAGGGGTTTTGGGGAGAACGCCCTCGACTGTGGAAGTGATGTTCGAGGTTCTACATTCGAGTACCTTTGCTCAATTGCGGTCGTTGGAGCGATAATCCGTCCATTGGCTCAGTAGCGGCGTGGTCAACGTAAAGTGTGGGTTGTGTGCATGGCGTGGAACCGTGACCTCCATCGGGGAGTCAAGGTCACGCTGAGAGGAACACGACACCGCTTTGTGGATGCAAGTCTGTGGTCAGTGCGCATCGAAAACCGAAAACGTGACACACACCACGTCATGCACCCAACCTCCACCGCAACACGTTGGGGTACCTTCGATCTTGCCACAACAAAAATTCATTCTCTTCCCTTCCTCGAGATTTTCTTTAAGCTGATTTACCGGTCGCGGCTGACGGCAAGATGGTCGCGCGTTCGAATGCTATGTTGGCTCGTACCAAGTGCAGGAATGAACTGAGGTTATCCTCAGTATGATGGATGGAAGTGACTCGAACGATGTGACACCTTCAGGGAACCTCAGCAAGTGGCCCAATTGAGTACTGCTATCAGACGGGCAGTGGCTACCAAGTACGGGAGCGACAGGACTGACAGCCACTAGCATTGTTTGTTGACCTTTTCTCGATGCCTTAACTACATCTGCAACGGTACTAGAAGTGTACTCATGTTTGAGAGTTGAAGTCTTTCGGACATGGGACACTATCAAATGAGCCTGCATATCTGAAGTTTGCATCGTAAACTCATCAATCGATAAGTTGTACCCGCATAAGATGTCAACGAGCTTTCGTCCTGTCTGAGCGCACAAAAAAGCTCCTATACTGCTAAATATGAGACAATACATAGCATACAGCCCTGTATGTGACTCACGCACGAAGCACGTCCCTTCCAACTGTTGTTGCCCTTCAGATGTCCTTCGAACCTTCAGTTAATCAGCCCTTTCCTGCGGTCTATACTTCACATCGCATGATAGGCCTGATACTCCGGCGGGAGCCTACTTTTCATGCTCTGCCATTCATGAATCGATGGCGCCTCCCCACCCTGCAGGCCCCCCGCGATAGTTACACCTGCGTCCACCGAGCGGCGGTGCGACCATTCTGCTGATACCGAGGGTCTGCGGCCATACTCTGAGTATGAGACTAGAAGATCTGCTATGGACGAGGGTGGGCGGGAGAGACCAGGGCCAAGGAGGGTAGCAGAGGACGGAGAACGGAAGGACTCGTTCTCGCCGCCAAACGCTGACGTATTGTCGGCATCGGTACGAGCCGTGAGCTGTGTCATTCCGTCTGAGACTCCAAGAATTGTGATCATGAGCAAATGGAGTAGACCCACAACCGCAAGCGACGACTCACCAACGTAATATGACGCAGCGGTCGAAGTATGTCGTGCGCGCTTTCGGCGGTACCAGCATCCGATCCCGAGTACCATCCCAATAACTGTTACCCCGGACACCGTGATACTTGTAGCGAGACTGATGATCCTTTTACGTGAGCTACCGGACAAATGGGATTGAGCTTCGTGTGCTTCTGGCGTGGCTGAAGACACACTCGAAGACGTCGCGGTTGAGGAGGACCACGAGGAGACGGATATAAGGGTTGCAGTCTGAGACGTTCCAGATGATGTTGAGATTAGAGATCCGGACAGCGATGGATCCGTAGAAGATGCAGTGGAGAGGAGCTGAAAGGAGCTCACGGCTGGCGACACGGTACTGGAAGTGTCAATCGTGCCTTCCGTGCTAACACTCGTGGCGATCGACGTAGCGTCCGTGTGTGGCGTGCCAGCCGATGATGACGACGATGACAATGACGAAATCTTTATTCTGGCTGCGCTGGAAGTTGAAGTCGTGCTTGAAGTCGAAGTATGTAAGGAAGGGGAAGGAATTTCGGTATCCGTGTCGTTGGAGACCTGGAAGTAGTCTATCCATAGCTGAGAGCCAAAATTGGTTACCACAAGTGTATGTTCTCCTCGTGTGAGCACCCCAGAGTCAAAGAACGTCTGGCCGTAGGCCTCTTGAGAGACCTCACTTGTTGGGAGGAAGGTATTGGGCTCGCCGTCATCGATTGTGTATTGCGATTCCATATCCCATGTTCCGACTGGCTTGAATGCCCCGAAGACTTTGACAGACGTGCCTGCACACATATCCCAATGTCAATATAATTCCTTACAGAGTTGACGCATAGCAGTCGATCCAACCTGTGAAGATGAAGGTTACACTCGACCCCGAAAGGTTGCCCCAATGGAGCGTCTGCTCCCAAGCCGCCGGCTGATTCTCCAAACCGGTCCAGGCGCCATGCCACTGAATACCAGGATCCCAATCATCCACTTTGACTGTGTCGGTGGATATGGAGCTGTAGAAGAAAAGAAAGAGCGTGAATGTAACAAAAGAGTGATAACCGAGTGCGAGCATGGCAAGGAGAACAAGCTCAGAGGCCTCAAGACCTTGGAAACGGAGCTTATGGACGGCGGGTGACCAACAGAGTTGCCCGAAGTGGCGGCAATTTATATCCGCCTCATGATGAAGATGGTCATAGTTCGTACTCGCGTTCTGGGTGCGCTCGTGCACATGTTGCAACATTTTCAACTTTCCACATAGATATGGATGCAATACGCAACCGATCAGATGCAGATGTGTGAATGGAAAGGAAGCCTGTTGGGCATAGAAATATGGGGCAGACGTAATCAGCGCGCTCACCGCGCAACGGCTTCGCCTTGACGGTGCCTCGCATCCGTTTAGATGAGGAAAAACCCGTCCCCATTGGCGTCAATCATGCTTCTACATGTTGAAGCATAAGCAAAAGTTCCTTGAAAGTTCACGCTCTGCGTGCCCGTACCATACAGAGCGTTGTGCACCTTCGTGGCCCGTCGTCGATGACGAATTATGTCCAGTTACAACAGCAGGCTCACAAGGCCCACGCCAAAGGTGTGGTACACATAACCACATATTATACAGGTGCATGTAAATTCTCAACAACGTTGTATAACTGCAGCCGTGGGAGGTGCCAGAGGCTCAACAGGCACGCGAGGACAACGCACCAGAAACCGAATCCGGCTGCATACCTACCGACATGGTCTATTGATAGTGTGCGCGGCCTGGTATGTAGAGTGGTGCTTGGAGCTCATGCAGCTGGACCGGGCACATTTTACTGGCCGTGTATAACTTCCTCGCAGTAAGGTTTCCGGAGATGTGGTGGGCAGAGTTAAGAGGTTTCTGAAACTCGGACGGCACGTGGTTGGTTATCAACTTAAGCGCTCATGAAGCAAATTTGCCAAAATACCAGTACTACATAGTGATCTCGGAGGCTCTGGGGCCCGGGCCGGAGGCCCCATGAGAACCTTCTTCTTGAGACCGTACATACATGGCCAAGTGTGCGAGCATGGCACAGTCAGAAATGGGTTCAGCACCCGAGCTTGCCGTTATCCCATCTGCAGGTACACAATGATCATTCAGTGTTCCCCCTCACGATCGGCTCCAGAGAGGCTGAACTTCCTTCGCGAACGACCATATGCATAAGCTTCTCATGTTAGATTACACGCTAAGTCCTCCAGCTTCTTCTTCGCGACCACGGACGTATCGGCCCCACTGTCTACTTCGCCCGAGTGTGTTAAATTAAGCTTGCGTACTAGCGCACCTGAGAATGGACTACGTTGGCGGATCTCGGCGAAGACTTCACCAGGCTTGTTATCACGCATGATGCTGTTGTTGGTACCTATGCAATGGTACGGTTGTCTCAATGGACTATCCAGCGTGCGTCAGTAAGATACAAGTTGCAAAACATTGCGAGCCGAGATGCATAACACGAGTGAGTACAGTGTACAGTGCACAGATGGCTCTCTCCCGTTCGCTCGTACATACGGTACTGTATGACGTGTAATGCACATCGAAAGTCATCCCGCTTCCGAACGCTCGCGGCGATACCGTCTTATGCAGATGGATACGTCTGATACGGTGGGGGAAACTTGTCCTTCAAACTCTGTCGTGAGGCGATAGACGGCGCATCTCCGCCGTGTGGACCACCCGCAATGCGAATGCCGCCGTCCACAGACCACTGCGCCGATGCCTGAGACAGCCGCCTGACATCCACATCGCTGTGCCCGCCAATGTAGGACATGCTAGACGAGGCCAGGGGCTCGGGAGCAGAGCGGAGGTTGGGGGTGGCGGAGGATAGCGAGTGGTGAACCTTCTCGTCGAGTACGGAGGGCTGAGAGACGGGCTGGATCATCGCGTCCGAAGAGACTGAACAGGACAGAAACACATTCAGCACTGAGGAGTGATGGACGACGGCGAGAACTCACAGAAGAAGTACGGTTGTACAGGGGTGAGATTGCGTGAGCGCCTCCTGCGGTACCAGCATACAGTCCCAAGAAGGGTCCCCAGCACGGCGACCAAGGCGACTACTAGCCCAATCACAAGCCCATTCGAACGGGGGCGAGTGCTCTCTGGTGAGTGCGTTGGGGTCATTTCCGATGCTTGGGTGGTCGAAGATGCGCTCAAAGATGTCGCGGAAGAAGAGGGCAGCTGAGAGCTGGATTCGAAAACTGATGACGCAGAGGAAGATAGAGATGGCGGGATGGTGACGGTCGATGTAGAGTTAATCAGCTTGACTGGGGTCGAGGTTGACGTTCTCGTGGCTGACAACGTGCTCTCCGCCCTTGGACGGGTGCTGCTACTGGACGTAGGGCGCGGGGATGTAGTGGTGGATGAAGATTGCGACGTAGTAGTGGAATGAGAACCCCCAATGTCAATCTGCCCTTGAGAACTCGTATTTCTCGACACGGTGTCATTGGAGACTCGCAGGCAATCTATCCACAGTTGTGCGCCCAGGTTTGTGATCAAGAGCGTATGCTCTCCGGCAGGAAGCGGGCCCGAATCGAAGAATGTCTGCGCGTAGGCCTCTTGAGAGACCTCTGATGGCGGGGTAAACACCGTCGGATCGCCGCCGTCAATCGTGTACTGCGACTCCATGCTCCATGTACCGACAGGTTTGAATGCTCCTACGACCTGTATGGAGGTGCCTAGCGGTCCAACCATGCGTGCCGTCAACACAGCACAGTGGGAAGGAATCGCAAGATGTTATCCGCGCACTCACCGGCGAACGTGTACGTCGCCGTCGAACCAGATAGGTTGCCCCAATGGAGCGAGCCGTCCCAAGTGGGAGCTGGCTGGTCCCCTATGCTCTCCCACGCGCCATTCCACTGGATGCCTTGGTTCCAGTCGTCAACAATGATCGTGGCCGCAGAAGTGAAACTAGACGCAAACAAAAAGAGTGTGATTGACAATGAGTGACAAGGATGCTGTAGCATGGCGGTGAGCGCGAAGGCTGTTGAGGTGGACAAGAAACCAGAGTCTATGGCAGGCAATCTGTCAAGGGCAAATGGTGAACTCCGACATAACCCGCATCTGCATCATGATAGATACAGCGTTGCGCCAGTCGCCCTGGGACCAACGACGACTGTTACCAACTGGTCAATTGTTGGATTGTCAACCTTCGAAGCGCACTCGACCGCCCACTATCAGACGCTCACAATCGCTCTCCCATTGTCCAACACGTCAGCAAGGTCGGGCGGCAAGTCGGGCCCCTCCGAGCGCCCGCAAACCCCACACAACCATCGCTTTCATCGATTGCGCCTTCGGATTGTCCATCGCCTACGGTACTAGTACACCAGAGCACAGGTACATATTTCATTTGACCAGATCACCAATTTCGCGTCCTGTAGGGCAGATAGCAAAGGACAACACAGCATATTGCATACTTGATCCATAATCATGTCTCTCCGCAGAATCATGCACCTCCTGAGCCCCCTTGATGCTTGCCAAACCTGAGTTTAAACTCCCGCATCGACCTTTCCAACATCTCCGCCTCCTCTTCTTCATACCCCCTCCGCGGCTTCTCCCCTTTAACATACAAAAACCACTGGGGAGCAGGGCTGAGAGTGTCGTATGCTCCATCGTTGCTTGACTTCGAGATCGTCGCCGCAACATGACCCGCAACCATTTTGCAGTCGAACTTCTGTCCATTATCGTTGACCAGGACATTGACATCGCCATATCCACTCGGGATGTTCTTCATATCAAGTTGAAAGTAAGGAATGCCGTCAAGGGTATAATTATCTTATACCGAGTGGCCGTGAGCCATATCACCGGTATTTGAAGGCATTAGTCACTTACCCTGAGTCATGATGCTTCCCAAAGACTGAGTCCCGGCCCTCCGATAGCGGGCTAGCCACTTCCCGTCCTGATCCCACACACAGAACGCGGTGATCCACCCCGATAGTAAGTCCAGGCCACAGATCCTGTCGTTCCGGTTCACTGCATGCTCCCAGAAGGGTATGTCGGGCTGCCCATCGAATGCTTCCACGAAGCGCCGCAGAATAGGACGAAGCATGGCCGCCCATTGCTCGGGCTCGTCTCCGAGCTCCGGGAGACGGTCAAGACGCTTGTACAGCCTCTCCCAGTCAGCCTTCTCTCCTTCGAGAGTAACCGAAGGAATGCCACAGGTTACGCCCATCCCATAGGAGAAGTATCTGTCGGCCGAAAACTCGAGTCAGCTCCGTGGTGGCGCGCGAAGACTGATAAACCCACGCCTGCAGAGTTGACATGAGGAGAATGGAGCAGATCGTAGTATCATTTGTCGTCGAAGTCGTAAAATCAGGGAGAATCCATTCGACCAAGGTCTTGTCGACAACCTGCGGATGTGAAATGTCACTAGCATGCCACAGAATGGTCTGATGCAGACGTACATGCTGATGAATCTGATCAGACATTTGTCTGGCCAATCTCCCAAAATCAACGGTGTAACGGGTCCCGACTGCATAGACCCAAAGCTCCTTCTTTTTCTCGTGTGCGACGAAGTATTCTCGCAGCTCATCGGCGTGCTTGTTGACACTAGAAGGAACAGTGGTTGAACAAAAATTGCGATAATTAGGTTGTGAATGCAAGGGTAAAACTTACTAGAAGCTGAGCTGTGAAAGGATTGCGATCCAAACGTCGTCGGGCCTGTAGATGAGTTAGGTATGGTTAGAATACGTGCCCTGACCATTGGCGATATGCTGTCGCACTAACCGAATCTTGAGGTGATGATGCCTTCCATGGGCTTCAACGACCGTAAGAACAAATCCGTTCTTCTCCGATTTCATATTGGGAGCGCAGAGTCCGTCACGGAGGACTGAAGAATCTCCCCGCTCTCCTTCCACTGCTTGTAGCAGGATTGTTTCAGGAATTCTTCCACAGCGTCTTGCGACCGGCCTTGTCTATAGCCAGGAAGCGCAATAGCATTCGCATCGTGCTTGGCAACTTGGAAGGTCACAGGCATTACGGGAGAGCTTTCGACACGAAGAAGGAGCTGGGGAAAGAAACAGTAGAGTGGGGTATGGTTTCGTGCGCACTGAGGGCTGTGCAGCGGCTGCGCCGGTCGGCAGCTTCGACTCATAACGACCCCGACTCTGCACACCGGCATTCGCCGCGCACTGTACTTCCGTGGAACTGTCCCCATGATGAGAACAGTTAAGATTACATCCTGATGACCAGGGAATGAAGGGGCTCTGAGGGCAGTGGCAAGCTCTAGAAATCGTGATCCTCAGTGTGACCGTACATGCCGAGCGTGCGACCATCTCAAAAGCAGGTGACACCCGCGGAATGGTCCCAACTTAAGGTTCAGTACCTGAGCTTGACGTTATCCATTCTGCAAAAATTCATATGTGTCGAGTGGGCCCCCTTCACTGCCAGCTCTGGAGATGCTGAAGTACTTCCAGGAGAATAAGGAGCATATCCCATCGGAGGCGCTTCCCTAACCGTCGCCCTAAAGCTGGATACCTTGTGTACAATAAACTTACACAGCGCACCGTGAACTATCTTGGCGTACCTTAGCGAAAGCTTCGCCAAGCTCATCATCAGGCATGTCCGCTATGATTGTGCCTTGACATAAATATCAAAGCAATACCAATTCAACGAGCCATCGAAAGTTCACCAGTTAGATACTGATTTTGATATCATTGAAAAGAAGTTAGTACACAGTGCACCATGATACGCAGCAGGCACATCTGACTTAAGCCCACCCGCTCGCTCGCCCTTCCATCACCTTCCAGAGTATCTCGCACATCGGAAGCAATCCCGCAACCGCACGGTCCGAGGGGAACGTCTCATGCAGATGGGTACGCCTGATACGGTGGGGGGAATTTGTCCTTCAAGTTCTGCCGCTCGGCAATAGACGGCGCATCTCCGCCATATGGACCACCTGCGATGCGAACGCCACCGTCCACGGACCACTGCGCCGACACCTGAGACTGCCGCCTGATATCAATATCACCAGTGTGCTCGTTCAGGGAACCCACGACGGATGAGGCGGGGCGGGAGATAGGCAGGCTAAGGTTGAGGCTAGCGGAGGACAATGAGCGACCGGAATTGTCGTCGAGTATGGGTACGGTGGGTTGAGAGTCGTGCTGGATCAGCGCTTCTGAAGAGACTGTATGTAGAGGGAGGACGGCAACGTAATCAGTACGTCTGCCCCATCAGGAGCCACAGACCTGCTGGGTACTCACAGGAAGCGTACGGCTGTACAGGGGTGCGATTCCGCGAGGGCCTCCTGCGGTACCAGCATGTGGTTCCAAGAAGGGTCCCCAGCACGACGACCAAGGCGACTACAAGCCCGATCGAAAGCCCATTCACTTGTGCGCGATTGCGCTCTGGTGAGTGCGTTGGGGTAGTCTCCTGTGCTTGGATGGTCGAGGATGCGCTCGAGGATGTCGCGAAAGAGGGGGGCAGCTGAGAGTTCGAATCGATGACTGATGACGTCGAGGGAGATATAGACAGGGACAGAGTGACGATTGATGTAGAGTTGATCAGCTGGACCCACGACGTGGTGACGATTGATGTAGAGTCGATTGGTTGAACTAGAGTCGAGGACGACGTTGTCGAAAACGTAGTCGTAGTGGCGGAGGAGGGCAATCTTGACGAAGTTTTACTAGGATGATCAAAATTACCGATTTTGAGCGTCCCAACCGCACTCGTAGTAATTGACGCAGGGTCATCGGATACCCTCAAGCAGTCTATCCACAGCTGCTCGCCCAGATTCCTGATCAAGAGTGTATGCTCTCCAGCTGGAAGCGGGCCAGAATCGAAAAACGTCTGCGCATAGGAGGCCCGAGTGACCTCTGGTGGGGGGGTGAACACCGTCGGCTCGCCATCATCGATCGTGTATTGCGACTTCATGATCCATGTGCCGATAGGTTTAAACGCGCCGACCACTTGTATGGACGTCCCTGATTGAGAGAAGTATAAGTGTATGGACGCGTGAGTGACGCCGGTACAGCACAATACAGAGACACTGCCAGTTGTGCCTCGTGCACTCACCGGTGAACGTGTACGTCGCTGTCAAACCAGGTGAATTCCCCCAGTGGAGTGAGCCATCCCAAGTGGGAGCTGGCTGGTTCCCTTTGACTTCCCATGCGCCATTCCACTGGATGCTTTGGCTCCGATCGTCAATGACGGTCGTGGCCGCACAAGCGAAGTTGAATGCGAAGGAAAAGAATGTGATTGAGACAAAGGAGCGACAAGGGTACTGCAACATGGCGGTAGACTCGCAGGATACTGACGTTAGCGAAGAGCAAGGAAACCGAGCTCACGGTAGAATATATGGAAAAGCAAGAGTCAGCCGACTGGCGACCATCTGTATCTGTTAGATCACGGAGGAGTTGATAGCGATATTCCAGTAGTGGCAGGCGGCGAATACGAAGGTGGCGTGACAGGCTTGAGGTCGAGTTAAGCGTGCCTAACAGTTCGGAGACCCTATAGACTGATGAATACTTCATGTATTCAGGAACACGAACGATGTTCCTCCGGGGGTAGAAAGATATACTTACAAGAAGAAGTGGATGGCAGAGGGTCATCGTAACTGACGACGGGAGGATATCAGTTCATTACGAGGTCTTCGCCGCTCGTTCTGATATTCCGTATGAGATTGGGACATACGATGACTGTGATGGAACCTTCAGCAAGCACGAGATGGCGGAGTCATGCCATCCCAGTCGATAACAGACATACATATTGCCCGTCGGTGGCAGTCCAACTCCAGTATGATCCACGGTGTGAACGGTTGGGCCTTAGCTTGAGACTTGAGACTTGACTAGGACATTATGTGACGTCAGAAAAAGGCTGCTGATTGTAGATTGTATGTCGCAGAGTTGGCTGAGTCCTGACTGCACAAGTCACCTCACCGGGGGTCGTCCGGTGCACCAAGACACGGTTCAAATAGGAGCAAACAACGCGCCTGTATTGGTAGACGCGCGTCCCTCCAGCCCCCGCGTCTGCTCTGCTGCTATCAGCTCGATTCCATCATAGGACACTCATTGCCCTCACCCACTCTGCATCGTTCACGCCAGAAACAGTCCGAAATGGCCTTGAGAAAGCGTAGAAAGGTCGTAAATGCTCTATCGCCACCAAGTTCTGTCCGTCCCAGTTGTGGGAGCGACGAGTCTTCCGTGCGCTCACTTTCACTTGCGAGTACCAGGCTCACAAGTACCAGCCACCCTTCATGCCTTCCGGCGGACATCTTACTTCTTATTGTTGAAGCCATAGGAAAGAACGAAGATCCGCAGAATGAGCTACGCGCCTGCGCTCTGACGTGTCGCCTCCTACGCTCGCGATCCCAGGCGCGTCTCTTCAGCTCTCCAATTCTTTCCGATGAGCATCAGTACTCGACATTCTCGCGAGCTCTAGATGGCTCCTCAGCTCTATCCGCCTACGTTCAAAGCTTGCGCTTGTACGTGGGCACCACTCACCCCGATATGCCCATTCCCCCACACCTCGTGGTCGGATTGAAGAATCTCAAGGCGGCGACTTTCGTTGGAGATGGAACCGTCTTGGGTACGCCAGTGCCAGAACGAACGATATCTTTCGTCAAGCTCTTCGGCGTCTTGAGCTCGACGCTCTCACGACTGGAGCTCGTGTTGTTCAAGTTCGCCGACTTTGCGGAGCTTGTCCGCCTCATCTGGTCCTTCCCGGACATCACGTCTCTCTCACTCGTTGGGTGCAGCTGGGGAAAGTCACATGAGCAAAACACTCAGCGAGATTGCCTGCCGGAGATACAGCACTACCCTCGTCGCGCGCAGTGCTTGACATCGCTCACGGTCAGTCTGCCCCTCTCCCTTCGGTTCTCGCTGACCAGTCGAGGCAGTTGCGACTCTCATCTCGTTTGAACTTGTCGCTCCCAGCATGGGGAGATAGCGTCCGGGACTTAGAGATTCAGGGCGCGGACCTCTCTGATGACTTCAAGGGTGCATTATATTCCCATGCTCGTCGGCTCTGGAACACCTTACTGATCGGGCACAAATGTCCTACCAGGCATATCCACGTTCTCTCGTCTAGAGCGGCTCTGCCTCACGCTCTGCGCAAGCCAGCTGAGTGCTGTCCTCTTCGCTCTCAGAAACGTCCGCTCGCCGACCTTCAAACGCCTCGTGATCAAGCACCATCTCAAGGGACAGAGCCGTAACTCAGCCCTCATACATGTTAAGGCGCTGAGACTCGACACTATCCTGGACCCAAGCGCGTTCCCAGAACTAAAGGCGGTAGACTGGACTGTGATCACTAGCGATATTGTGGACGAAGCGAAGGTTCAGGGCTGGGTGGAGGATATTGGAAGACAGATGCCTCATGTGAGAGATCGCGGACTGTTGACGTGTAAAATTGAGCAAAGTGCGTATTGAACGACCTTCTTACTCGTTGTGGTAATGCAAGAAGTGGGCGCTGACATACGTTCTGTTTTTCTACGTAGAGAACATGTTCTTTGATACATAGAGCATGTCAAGGACGTCTTCTCAGACGTTGGATGCAATGCATCCCACCAGTTCGCTTCATCACGAATGGTCCGCACTTGAATGAGAGGCTCACAGGTACACCTTTCATCGTGATACGCAACATGTACCACACGCGCGCAGTGAGATTGCAAGAACAGCAGCGAGCACGTCATGGTCGTCATATACCATCTTTAACGACGTTCAGCGTTGTCAAACACCTCACGACAAGATTCGTGAAGATCAGCCTAATGATTCGTTCACACAAGCCTTAGGGCCTAGACAGGTATGGGAAATCGGCACAGCCCAACAAGCAAGTCGCCCGATGTGTATCAAAAACACAGCCGCAGCGTAGTTGATGGGCGACAGCAGATGGGTGATATATCGGGTGCCGACAGGCGGATATATCTCGTTACTCCCCCTACTAAGTCGTCATCGTGTACCCGTTGACTACATAATTTCACAGGTACACCGTCATGTCGTACCACATGGAGGCGAAGCTCGAATCCGACGCTCACGGCCCGAGACTTCCTTCAGACATCCTTCACCTCATTCTCGACGCCATCGCGGAGTGGGGAGGCTCACAGGCGAAACGCACGCTCCTCACATGTGCGCAGACGAGCTCCTTCCTTCTTCGACGGGCCCAAGCCCATCTGTACAAGGACATCTCCCTGTCCCGCCGTCGACAATGCGCCCTCTTCTCACGGACGATCGACTCGTCGCCCCATATCGCAGTCCTCGTCAACCGCGTCCGCTTTTCCGAGATCTCTGCATCATGGGCGGACTATCCCCTCCCGCCCCACGTCGTCGGACGTTTGACGAGCCTACGTAGAGCGGCGTTTCGCGCGAGCGTCCGTGGATTGGACTCGGGCGACGAAACGGCGCAGATCAAGTCCACGTCGAGCACAACAATTGCATTCGTCAAGCTGTTCGCGGTGGTCAGTCCCGCACTCAAACATCTAGAGCTGGACATATTTATATTCAAGAGCTTCGCGGAGCTGGCCAGGCTGGTATGGAGCTTCCCTGGGGTCGAAACGCTGGCGTTGCGGGGTTGCAGTTGGGTTGATAGGGGACTAGTTGCGTTGCCCGACGAGAATATGTATCCAGGCTGTTGTCGCAACCTGTCCTCAGTAACCGTACGTAATATGCAAAACGAAACGAACTTGACTCATGTGCTTGCCTTGTAGCTTCATTTCCTGCCTCCATTCAGTCTATCGCTCCCGGTATGGGGTGCGGGCGTGCGAGAGCTCGATCTCCAGGCCTTCACAGCTCAGCCTTGTAGTGACTACTATGAAGGTAGGTGTGATCCAATAATAGGAGCCTATATCTCGTACGTCTGACCTGCCTTCAACGCAATTCAGGTCTCGCGAACTTCACGAGCCTAGAGCACCTCCGACTCGCTTTCTACCAGGAAGACATCCGCTGGATCGCCATTGCCCTGCGTCATGTCCGTTCTGGGCGCGTCCTCAGTCTCTCGTTCCGACACCGTGCTCTCGATCAGCATCGGGCCAAGACACTAGAACAGCTCGAAGACCTCAGACTTGACGAGATCCTGAGGCAGCCGATCTTCAGGAACATAGTCCAAGTATCGTGGACCGTGGTTTGCAAGGAGATAGATGATCCGGCGGCATGGAAGAAGGAAATTGCGGCGAGACTTCCAGGCTTGGTGCAGAGGAAGATCTTGTGGTACTCTGTGCATCAAGGTGAGCTGAGTGTCTCGCGGAAGTCGATCACAACACATCCATGAAGTAACGCCTTTCTTGTCCAGAGTCTAGGAATAGGTAGCGTAGGTGCAATATGGTTCGTAGCAGAGGCACAGCTCCTATCAATCATGAAAGTTCGTAAAGAACGTTGTGCACCTGAGGGAGAAGTTCTAAAGCGGCCGCTTCGCATACTTGGGCTGTTTAGAGATCTGCCAAGCGCGTCCGTGGCCATGGTGTACTTGATAGGCCTTAAATAGTAGAAGATATTCTGTAAATCGAAGAGAAACCGAGCATGTCCGTTTCCAGGGGTACCACAGATGCCATCAGTTCAAGACAGTTGAAGGGTGGCAGCTCTTCAGTAGACCCGTGGCCTGTGTCCTGCCGCAAGCCCACTGCCTTTCATGCGGATTGCTGACTATTGACAAGCGTATGGATAAATGGCAATACAGGAGTAATAAAGAATTGTTCAAATGTTCGCGGTCCTTGTCCCTAACTCTCCGGCCAAGTGTACCTAACATTCCATCACGAGTAACTACTCAAACTGCGTCCACATCCCCCTTCTCAGAGGGCGCGGCACCTCCACCCGCCCCCAAGACACTCCTGTCGACTGCATCTCCAGGTGACGATGCACTAATCGATGTGCGTGTGCGGGGCTTCATTGACCCTACGATCAAGACAGATACAGCATACACGGCGTCCGCCAAGGCGAGAAGCTCTGGCGGTGCCGAGGGACGAGGAGTTTCATTCTGTACGCTCGGATGGGGGAGGGCTAGGCGCGAGTCTACGGGAGGTAGTGGATCCCAAGCAGCGAGCTGAGTCTTAATGGGTCTCGGATCGCCGAGATCGAGCGAGCTCATATTGACCTCTGCTTCTCTATCTCCCGGTGCCCTCTTGTTGAGCTCCAGGTCGACAGATGGCGTTTTCAGCTCACGGTCATACTCCGGGTCGATGGGGACAGAACCGAACCATGACCAAGTAGAACTGAGCCGACGAGACCGACTTGAAGCACCTGAGCACGAAATGTCCACACATGAGAAGCACCGCAGGTCAGCACTCGATAATGCTCATCTGGACAGGACTCACGAGCACCTCCACAAGACCACGATTTGGGAAACCACGGAGAGCGGTCCATCGTAGAGCGCGTCGGCCGCTCCCGCGCGCGCCTTCGTAGAGATATCGTCGCCCAGGCTATGAACAGGACTCCGGCAAAAATGCCCAGAATGATGCCTACAATTGCACCAGCGTCCAGCCCGCGCGAGTGGGACGCAACCTGTGAGGACGAGGCAGGATGATTTTGTGAAGCAGTGGACGAGGCAGGAGTATTTTGTGAAGAAGTGGACGAAGTCAAGTAATCTGGGGATGATGATGTGGAATGAGCTGTGGAATTTGGGGTGTCAATCACCGTTGAAGGCGTTGTTGTGCGAGCTGGGAGACTGGATGAATGGAACGTTGCAGTGCCCGTCTGACTGGACTCGAGCTGCGATGAACCGCTCGCGAGCACCGTTGATGTAGTCGTGACGGTCGCGGTAGATGCTCCTTCTCCGGTCATCGAAGCGGAATGTATTGGTGGGCCATGCGTGGATATTGACGCACAAGGCGACACAGTAGGATGGGGCAAGGTAACGGGCAAGGTGACGGGCAAGGTAACGGGAAAGCCGGGATTGCATATCAAGATCGGAGGGGTTCCGCCACCCCGATGACCGAAAACATACCCAGTCGGTACTGGCGCGTGTTCTCCTAGGCCCTCTCTTCCCCAATGAACATCGGAAGCGCCTCGACGCTTGAGTATTAAGGGCGGATTATGCCGTTGCTCCTGGACGAAGCTGTTGCGTACGGGAGTGACCCCCGATATGACCGCGCTCTCGGGATGAGTGGGAGACGATGGAACTGTGTGCTGCTTGGTCAGCTGCGGAGAGATTTTCATCGTATTGCACTGAGCCTACGTGCAAAGCACGCACGATTCAGAGCAGTCCAACGGATCCACCTTTGGAAGGCTTTGATATGGTGCAAAGCCGCATGAACATGTCTGATGAGCGACGTAGAAGGGACCGAGCAGCGATAACATACGACCTACCAGGCCTAGGACGGATTTACGAAGCCTGAGAGAAAGATGTGTCTCAAGTCTTCGTACCAAGGTCGAGCTAAGAGTCGTTCGCCGTCGCTTGCAGCGTGCGAGGCATTTACACGAATGTGCCGCCCGATCGATTGAGGGTTCAGCATAGCAACCATATCTGCCACAGTAGTTGTCTTCGCCATCAGAGCCTTGTGACGGTGAGCATCGGAGAGGTTGGCATGTCAATGCGATCCTCCACCAAGGAAGGGAGGCCACAAAACTGCGAAGGGGATTGTGTATCAGAATCAAACGAGCGAGCGATGGAGAACCGCAGTCAAACCCAACATACATCTGATATCATCGAAGTAATGCTAGAGCTACTGTAATTTCTAAGGCGAGTGTCTCTGCAGTTCGATTCGAAGGGGAGTTCCGAGCACTGTGATGTACACTGTCAGACAGCCGCTGAAGCCACCCCCTTCCTTCTGCTCCATAACGACGAACAAAGTTAATCTGAGGCAACACCACGAAGGGAGCGGGGAAAGAACGACCGCGATGGATCAAGGATTTTTGTGGCGTTGCAGCGTGCCAATCCATGTGGGTAAAGAGTGGCCTACAACCAGGTCTACAGACCTCCCTGCCGGGACGTGGGCGAGGGCTGATGACCCAGATGGGGGGAGGAGTCTACATAAAAGGAGCATACACGAGGAAGACGGCGGGGCGCCGACGGACTTCTGTCGGGCAGAACGCGGCAGGAGGCGGGATGCGGCGCGACGAGTAAGAGTCTGACAGGCGGGACAGGAGAGCACGCGGGGAAGACAACAAGGCGCGGGAACGGGGACGACGGAAGGTATTAATACCATCACGTACCAGGGTTTGAGATCTGCAGGAATGGTTTGCAGACCTCGTTGCAATCTCTACGGGTATACGATACGGCGGTTTTTCGCGCATATATTCGCAAAGCCGCCGCCACCGACCGAAGATCGAGACAGTTTGTGAGCACGATCTTCTGTTCATCGGCCGTGCCCCAGTCGGAAATGCGTCTGCGGCCTCCTAGCTCCTTCCAGCCTAGATGAGCTACACTCATATCGTCCGCATGCCCGATCAAGGTCAGGAGCCTCTGGGCAGTCGCAGTCGCACCGCCAGCGCCCAGTCCTGCCTAGCCCAAGGAGAGGTCGACATGGACACATTGTCGTGTGCTAAGCCTGGTCGTCAGCCACGGGTCCATAGTGACGAGCGTGGCGCACGAGCTTGCCGTCCTGCAACGTGGCGTAGCCTGAGATACTGAAGTCTGAACTGGGAATTCTAGGATAGAGGACGAGCCAACCTGACTAACGAAGAAACCGATCACTGATCCGGCGTAGTATACCGGCACGATCATCACGGTCTGAGGTTTTGAACGTTTGGAGCGGAAGGCCGTCAAGAGCACACCTATTGAGCGAAATTGGCTGGACCTGAAAACACAGAAGCCCAATGAGTGATCCTTGGCGAAGAGGACTGCAGCATACGAAGATGTATCTGTATCCGAGTGCTTGGTGGAAGTACGCCTCGGAGATGCCCGGAGGAGCCGAGGGTGTCATCGATGCGGCACTGGCAACGTTGCCGATGTATGCAACGCTACTCGTCTCCGTTCAGCGGAACAGAACATTGTCAGTAACTACGGTAGCTCGGCCGAGACTGCGTACATACCCGGGCATATGCGCACATACCCGGACATATAGACACCTGCGCCTTGGTGGCCGCAGTGTCCGAGGCGAAGCCTATCACGTTGCCTCGAATCAACGTCTAATTTAGGACCGTGACCAATGAAACCTCGCTGCCGTCGCAAAGAAAATAAGAGTGGCACTGCTGGGCTATGCTGAAGGTGGGTATATTCGTAAAATTCATAGCAAAGAGAGGTGCTCACGTCGAGATCGCTTTCCCAGAGGGCTATCCAGAATGCCGCTGTTGACGCTTGGTGATTGAAAACACCGGAGAGGCAAATACGGCATCCTAAAGTGTCATCATGCCCCCGTTCCCTTGGATGCCTACTGCTCCCAGCACCACACCGGCCAGCAGCTGACCTTTCAAGACATAGTCCTTGGAGAATCAAATCCCCGTACGATCTCTGGTGAGGTTATGAAAGTCCTGCTTGTTCCCGATTTCGATGCGAGCGATTACGACGCCCGCCGACTTGACACGCGGAAGATCGTCTGTGCTATGCTAACACCATTTTTGAGCTTGTCCGCACTGGAGTCCAAGTTACCGAAAGAAGTGCGTACCTTCCGGGAGGAAGCGCGAGAGCGCGAAGAACAAGCCACTGACAGTAATGCTCGTAACCTGGGGAACGGAGCAATGTTGTGAGGAGCGGAGAAGAACTCCTTGTTGGTATGCCCAGAAGGTGTTGTCTGCGAAATTTGCGCACTAGTTTTGGGGGTTTGCTGGGGAGCTCAGCGTAGTTGATTTCGTAGTAGATGAACTGGGTGCGTATCTCAATCTCCGTCCAATCTTTCCAGCGATCTTCCTCGATGGACAATGGATCGAAAGTCGGAGGGGCAGGAGAATTGAACGATGTCAAAAGGGGAAATGAGACGATCCCCGCGAATGCATTCCAGCGAACCCAGCGGAGTCGCGCAGGAAACAGCGATTGAAGCGCGACGCATGATGAGAAGTCAACTAGAAAGAGATGTGCGGACGATCTCTTGGGTTCTCACCCGTCTGCTTTTGTCACAAGATTCTTTGTAGAGTTCAGAGAGAGGCAATCACCAACAATGCAAGTCCTGGAGGCGCAAGCAGAGATCAGTCTCGTGCGTGATGAGTTTCATGCGTGGGGACAGCGAGAACAGAACTTGAACAAGGCAGATGTCGTCGCGAGTTCCCGACAATCTCCGGTCCGCTGTCCCGGACGCGCCGTCTTGCTTAGCGCACCCTCGGCGCTGGGCCCGACAAGGAACAGTCTTGGATCTTTTGCTCGTCTTGGAACTGGCTATTGTATGGCTCATGTGACAAGGCTATGGTTGCACCTGCATCGTCTGTTTCCTTGAGCGCCGACACGGTGTAATTGTAGTACCAACTGGGAAAGCAGTCGTGCAATCTGTTGCTCCACCACTCCTCTAACTCCTCAAGAACCCCTAGCGTTTCGAAACAACTGGTGGAAGGGTTGCGGTACATTTCGACATATGAAACTCTACGACCAACAGATGGCATACAAGTACACTCCAACAGCATGTTTGGCGGTACGGATAACCGTATGCTCAATGATTTCTCCTGCGTATGCCCCGGACCCGCTCAGTTCGACACCGCATCCGTGAACTGTGTGGTCGCAAACCCAACACGATTGTTTGTAACGTCGAAGACGCTGTAGAAGCGTTGCAGGAAAACCATTCCGTTGATGAAGTCCAAACCCTCGCCGCTTCCAGTCCCGATATCTGAGACAATAAGGTAGACGCTGTTTGGATCGCCGCCAATGACCGTGTTCAGCTGAACGTCGGAGCAAAATGTGAGAGAGAAGAGTTAGACAGTAAGACACCAACAAGTGGAAGATTGTGACACGTGCGCTGCGCGGCCAAATCTGTGCGTTCGGTGTGAATTCGTATGTAGTCTGCAAGGATGATGAATTGGCTTGTAGGGAGAGATAGCGTAGGAAGGGCCGAGAAACGTACACCTCCAATGTTGAAGAACAGAATCTTCAGATTATTGAACCCGGCGAGGGTGAGCTTGAGAAGCCCGGTCGTGTTATCAAGCACCGCGCCTGTTACTGCCTTGTACCGCATCAGAGCATCTACGATTGAAGCACATGAATACTCTAGTTCTGTATCGTAACTGGAGAATATACACACCAGTTGCAATGAGAAGCAGGGTCGTTCCAGTGTCAGTAATACCCGCGGTTGCGGACAAGATCACACTGGCAGTCGAAGCGATGGAGCCGTAGGTAATAGACTGTTCAAACCCAATAAATTCCGACGAAGGAGATGTCGTGGTAATCGGTCTGCACCATGTGTAAATGCACGTCTTCATGGAGAAACGACGGAATGTCTGACCACTTACACGAAAGAGACAGGCTCAGTGGTCTTGTTGCTATCGATACCTCCAAACGTCAACTCCCCGTTCGGGTCATTGTCTGCAGATGTGGTCGGTGCAAAGAAGACCCCGAGGATATCTTCTGGAATGATGCCTTCTCTGAAGGCTTGGTCGAGGAGGGTCGGCACCCCTGACGACGAAGGATCAGGAGACAGAGTTCCCACATTCAAATCTCGCGGTCCAAGCCTGTTGAACCGACAGCGAAGAGGGTAGTAAGATCCCCATGCCTTCGTGAGTTTACGTGCTACCTTACTCACCCGAGGACGCCATCGACACCTTCAAAGCCCTGTGAGATGCTCGCGGAACCGATGCTGACGTTGGGAACCACCATGCTGCCGATCGTCACGGTGTCTATGAATTCCTCGCCCGAGAAATCGCCTGACCCGTATTGCACGGACTGCAATAGGTCCAAGTGCTCAGCACCGACATGCGCACATCGAAAAGGACTCAGCAGACGCACCACTGACTGCCCGGTCGGCTGACTACTTGATGTTCTGTCGTATGCTTTCCCCGCACCGACCCATATGTTTGCGCTGCCGGTGTCAACGATCAGGTTGTAGAACGTTGGTGGTACACCAATTCCAACGTTCGCGATGTAGTCCACAACCTGGTCCGTGATGGAAGCGGAAAACACCTGTGGCAGTGCGCGCTTTCCTCGAGTAGGACGGGAGTTTGATGCGGCTACGAGCGCCCTCGCGCGAGCCTGATCATGTTGCAGGAGGCTGGGAATACCTGAGATATTGAGCCTCCGCATGAATGGGAGAGTAAGGGGCGAGCCGTCAGCCACGATGGGCTTGCACGCGCAGGTGGGAAGACCTGCAGCAGCCGCGCAGAGGACGACTAACAAGGGCGAGCGCAGCATGATACCGAGGGCTGAGGGGGATTGTGGAGGTAAGGCGAGGACATGCGGACATTAAAAGCGTTGACGGGCCAGGAGGAAGACCGGCATGGGGACCTGAAGACATGACCATCGCCTAGACAGGTGAGGACAAGGGATGCAATGTGAGTGGATGGAGGAGATCGCCATAGTCGGCGTCTGGAGACGTCGTGTCAAAAATCAGGTACTCACCGCCAACGATCCGACTTGCGGTGGATAGACGTGAGATTTCTTCGTGTGCGAGAGAGGGGCGGAGATCAAGTCTGACCCAGCACCGGCCACTCTCCGACTCGCAAGGATACAAGGTGGTCAATCCAGGAACGCGGTGTGGGGAGGGGAAATCGAGGCAGAGAATATGCTTATGATGGAACAAATGAGTAGGACATTTCGGACAAGCGCTGTCTCCGCCATGGGGAGTATGCTGAGACCCCGTTCGATGCAGAATGTGTTGCGCCAGCCTGCATCTCGGTTCTCGTCTTGTCAATATTTATGAACAATGGGACGCGCTTGACCATGGTAGATCAGGGCCAAAGAGTGCCAGATGATCCCTAATCGGCTCGGGCATGGACGGGGGACATACATGGGGAGCTCGGTAAGAATGGCATTTCAGTATAGATGTTGCGAGGACAAACCTGCTTGGGGCAAGCCATGTTCCAGGGATTGCATTGCACTGGCAATAGCCCTCGCATGCTTGAGTAGCGAGGGAAAGAAGGTGACAGGCGCTCGCCGCGATGTGCGCCATCATGCCGACGGCAGTACCCGGCAGGCCCGGCGGCGTCTGGGCTGCTTAGCGGGCGCGCTGGGTGTGTTCATCTTGTGCTTCAGACTTGCACAAGGTCCATCGGTGGGCTGATCGTACGCCCCCATGCGATTGGTCTCAATATGGCACCTATAGCTAGTTGTTGGCACGCACTAGGTCTTTATCTCTTCCGTCCCGTACCTCTCCTGTCCAATATCATTCGAGAAAGAAGCTACTCTATAGATGTTCGCATACGACTACCATCTCCTCGCTCTCGAGCCGTGCCTTTGTCTCATAGACGTACAACAAGCGACTCACGACTTCCTATCACTCGGATACAGCTGGTAGTACGGCGGCAACGTCCATACGGCGCTCCGGACTTCGTCATCTCTAGCTCCCCCCGCGGTTCTAGCCGGTCCTCCCGCCAGTCTCACACCGCCATCCATCGACCTCCTCACCTCCAATGGACTCCTATGGCAACTCCAGTCCGTATACGGCGTTAAAGGAGAACGTATACCCTGTTGCGCTCCATGAAGCTGGACTACGAGCGGGGAAACTGTTGGCAGCAGTGGTGTGATCTGGTCGATGATGGCGAATTGGGCGCAGATAGCGAGTGCAGAGAGCGAATGATAGAGTTAAGGAAGAGCGAGAGAGAGAGAGACATAGACACATAGACAAGAGGTTTAGGGCACCAAACTGGCACTCAGGGCTCTCCAGGCCCAGACAGAACAAAGCCCCACCCAGGCCTCAAACACAAACCGAAGAGGCTCGTCGCCATACGGACTAAAGAGCAGGTAGGTACATGATGAGCTGGCAGTACCGATGTGCTATTTGTATGTATTTGGTCACTCGGCGATGGCCGGACGGCAAACTCCAACAGAAACGGCTGAGGGTGACCCGAGCGGTTCGACGCCCGTCATTCTGGTGCGTGAGCCTATCACCTCGAGGTCGGTTCTAATCTTATGCAGTGCATCTCGTTGGTTCAGACCGTGTATCTCGTCCACCGACGAATATGCGGGCGTAGGTTGAGATGAGAGCGATGTGGCCGTCGAGTCCCGGAAGTTATCGTATCCAAGGATGGCTTATCCGACGACTCGGAGGCCAGCGCTGTCAGTCCGGGGTCTATACATTATGAGGTGAGTGCCATTACTCGGA